CTGCAGGCCCGGTGGGCGTTCCAGAAGGTGATCTGCAAGTTCCTTTGTATTTATAAACTCTAATTTCTTACCTTTTTAGTAACTTTTTAGAAGAGCATTTTATTCCGTATTTTAAATTATTTCTATCCGATGTTAAGATACCTATTTTAAGATGAGCCTTGGATATTTAATTTTAATTATCTGCTGTAGGAATACAAGGACTTAAAGTTTAAATGTTTTTGTAAATTTAGAATGAGCTAGTATTTTTATTTCGTAAATGTCTCTTTTAGTGTGAATTAATTTAATGTTATGCATATGAAATTTAAAAGTGCTTTTTATCGAAAAGTTTTATCTTGAGTATAACCATTTGAAAATTTAAAAGTGTATAAATTGAAATTTTTAGTGCACATGAAGGCATCTGGAAATGATCGGGATTGTGTTTGTTGTTAATTTATAGTTATAATAAAATTTACTTTTTATTGTTAAAAGTTTCATGTACTTCATTAGTCAAGTGTCTATTTTTGAACCTGGGTAACCGTTACCAAAATTCAGTTAAAAAATCACAGCCTTGCCAAAGTTTGAAGGGTAACGGTACAATTCCTTTGCCAAGGGATCATTAATTCTGTTTAAATTCAAGCTTTAAGCTGATTTTAAATTTTGTTTTTGAAGCTTTTAATTTCATTCTCCTTATTAAAAATTTATTTCCTGTTGACTAATAAAGGTTATTTAAAATAACTTTTATATACCTCCCAATATTTCTCATTCTCATTCTAGCTTCTGGTGGCATTTCTTCTTCTTCCTAAGTTAATAAAAAATATTTTTCAAAATAAAAAATAAATATATATTTAAGACACAGTTTTTACAATAATTTTAAAAGAAATCAAGAATGCAATGATCAAATCAGTAAATTAAATTCACCATAAAACAAAGTTTATATTTTGAGAATTTTAATGTACCCTTGGATTATTTTATTAAAATAAAATTGTATAGCAATATATATAACTTTGTTATGTGAGATGACAAACCTTTATTTTTCTTAATTATTTTTTTAATAGATTGTGAAAATAATCTTTTGAATTAGTTTTGCACAGTGAGCAGCACAAGCTAAATATAGCCCTCTAATGTTTTCTATATGTGGCTTCAGACTGTTCACCAAAATATAATTAAAAATTTCTAAGAACACAATTGATTAAAAAGCTTTTTAACAAATACTGACAAAACATCAAAATTATAACAAGTATCTTAATTTCATTTAAAAGATAAAATATCTTTAGAAAAAACTATAAGACTTTACTTAAAATCGAGTAGATGTGTCAAAAATGCACAGAGAGGGCAATAGAATAAAAAAAAATGATTACTTCGAGACTCGATAATTAGTTTGAGAATTACTAACTGTTAAATTTAAGGTAAAAAAATTCTTTACATGCAATTCTGCAATTTAAGGCAATTCAACCACAGAGTTTAAATATGACATGCTGAAAGGAATGTTAACAGTAAATAACAAAATTTTTAATTAAACATAAACACTAATTTTTTTAACAGTGAACCTGGAATTCAAAAATAATATTTTCAGAAAATTAAATACTTTTAATTTTTAATAATACTTTAATTCTTAAAAATTCATTCAAAAATGAACATAAATGATAAATTTTTAAATAAAAAAAATCCCCTTTTATCAAAAATTGACATAGTTAAAAATACATAAAAATTAGATAAAAGAAATGAGTTTTTTTTTTTTTTTTTAATCATCAGTACAAATAATTAGTATTTAAAAAAAAAAAAAAACATTATCTTCAAAAAATGAAAGTATAAAAAATAAATCAATAAATACATATTTTGATGAGTAATATAAATTCAAATTAAATATTTTTATTGAAGAAAATTTACAAGGTTTAAGCAAAAACTAAAGATTAAAATAAAACCATAATAGTACAAAATATAAGATTCAATATTTATTTGGCAGTAAACTTCAGTTATTATTTTTATTTCTTGAATTATTAGAGGTTTCATGAATTTTAAATAGGAAATTTTTTTTTAAATTTTTTTTCCTGTAAAAATCCTTTAAATAAAATTTTTTTTCATTGTGTTCAGAAGCTTTTGCGAGCAGCACATCAACAGTCTGCGGGCCGCAGGTTATGCGACCGTTATGTAAGGAAACTACAATAGTTAATTAGTTATGAACACACTAATAATTTAAAGCAAGTTAGAAGGAAATCGATGGAATCACTGCTTATTTATAAGTTTGAAAAATTCTCTTTCATAGAAATACCACTTAAGATTTAAGGAAAGCTTAGTTTTTTTCCTGCAAACATTGATTCAAAAAAGTTAAACATTAAATTACATAAAAATAAAAAAAATCGATTGACAAATTTTCACCTGGTGTTCCCTTAACACATAAGTGCACAAAGCATAAACAGTACTTAATTTAATTGTATTTCATGTCTTATTAAGTATTAAAGGTCTTTATCAAGGTCAGATGGAAAAAAATGAAGCAAAGGAAACTAATGAAACGAACTTACATCACTTTCTTGATTGAATGCTGAAGCAACAGAGGCACTTGCTTTCTTTAAAGTAGGTTTCACTTCTTTATTTTTCTGTCCATGAAGAAAAAAAAATACTTCATTTTTTTTAAAGTATATTTCATAATACAAATGAACTAAAACTTGCATTTATTTTTAAGATTCAAACTTATTTAAAGAAAATTCAAATTACCATTATTTGGGTACAAATTTGTTTAAGACCCAACAGAGATTTTAAAGTTTTTCTGAAATTTGCTAAGGTATTAGAGACAATGCGTAGTGTTTTTATAAGAGAAGGCTGAAACTAAATGTGAATTGTACGTTAGTTTAGGGAGAGTCAAGACAACAATGGAATAACTTCATGTAAGTTGCAAAACAATGGGGAGGGGGGGGGGAACAGCTATAAGAACCTACAAATTAATAATTTCAACAAGCATGCATAGTAAAAATCTGAAAAGAAAGAAGCTAAAGGTTTAAAAAAACAGCCACTTTTTTTTTTTTTTTTTTAAGGAATTACTAAATACTTTGCAAACTGGAAAAATTTCATTCAACCAGGTTTTTTGCTATAGTAGTATTCTTAGCAAAATACTAAGAAAAAAGACTTTCAAAATGCAACAAGGCATTTTGATTTTTTTGTTAAAACATTTTAGTAGATTCTATTAATTCTAATTTTTCAACAAAAAAAAAAAAAAAAAAAAAAAAAAAAAAAANAAAAAAAAATAAAAAAAAAAAAAAAAAAAAAAAAACTTATGACAAATATTTTTACATCATATATATCTTAATTCTTTTGATTGTTTCTATCAATGCAGGCATGGAAACATACTAATTAATTAAATAGAGTAGAAAAGACAATTCAGTATGGCAAACTAATAATGAAATTTAGACAGAAAAATTATAAATCAAGTTCTTCACATGTAAAATAAAATTATTATTAAAACTTAAAATAATTTGGAAATGGAAATGAAACACAGTTTAGCTTCAGAAATATTTTACAAAACAAACTCATATTTATAAGCCTTGTGACATTTTAAAATTTTGCTAACAATTTTTTTTTCTTTTGATTTCGGCTTTTTTGCTGAAGAATTGTTAAACAAAGTTAATCTCTGGATGGAACAAAGGAAGTAATTGTAAAATTTATTTGTCACACTTAAAATTAACCAATTTAGTGTAAAAACACAACTAATAGAGAAGAGTAAAAAGAAAGGAAATTCTGCCATTAAAATTGTAGGACTCAAAAATATTTGTAAGCAATAAGAAGCACAACAGAGTAAAAAAAAGTAAAATGTAGCAAACATTCTTCAGATTCAATTTTCTCATATAAAAAAATTTTTTTAATAAATTTTCAAAAAATTCGGTTTTAGGGTGAAAATTAATACCTAACTTCACAAAAGACAGACTACTAAGCAATGCACAAAGGAAAAAAAATCAGGAAATTTTTTGGATCAAATGCATAAATACATTTATTTAGAAGTTTATGTGGGCCACAGGTTGGGCACCTAATATTACGTCGGTCGCAGGTTGGGCCCTAAAATAGAGAGTGCTTAAAAGTCTGGACATGCATTGTAGAATAAAAATTCTATCCTCAATTTCATGGTGCAATTCCTCTCAACTTCAGAAGACTACCCATTTATTCAATAGAGGCATTTCTGAGTTTCATTGATTTTTCGTTTACAAAATAAAATTATTTATCGTTTAAAAAACTGGTAATAATTTAACTAGTAAAAGATGATTAATTTTGAAAAAAAATGAAGTCTTGCAGCAGAACATTAAATAAAATTTTGTTCTGGGAATTGTGTAGTTTTCAACAATAAACATTTATGATTTAGTAGAATTTTTTGTGCAAAGGCTGCTACATTGAAACATTAATGTATCCTATGACATATATTGCAGGCAAGTGAGTAATATAATGCACAAAATATTAAAATACCTGAGCACCTAACTTGATCGTTATAGGAGCTGGATTTTTCTTATCACTGTTACCAATTGATGTTACAGAGCCAAATGTCTTGCTGAATCCCACGCTAACCTTCTGCCTTTTAGGAAAAGCTTCTTCAAGCATGGCAACTCCATCAATATCATCCTCTTCACTGTCACTTGGATCAGAACTAAGTTTCCTCTTTTCTCTGTCTGATGCTGGCAGCTTGCTGCTGGTAGAGACAACTGCATGATTCAAGCCTAATCAAGGTGAAACACACTGGCAAATTTGAATATATGTTCCAATTAATATCCCCAGCTGAAAAACATGAATGCTGACTATTCACAAAGGGATCACTTTCAAAAGGTAACTTTTTTTTTCCGGTTGCAGTGGTGGCTCGCAATGTTTGGTCAAATAGTGTAAAATTGTAATTTTATTAACCCTTTTGGGATATGAATAAAAAACATATCGCTTATCTTTTAATTAAGGTTGAAAGGTATAAACATGTTCATTTTATACTTTTTTACTATGTCACAGCTTTGCAAAACTGACAAATACGCGATAGTTCCTGCTTCATGAGACAAAAATTGCACACTCAACTTATTTGTGAAGCTTCTTCATTATAGGGATATATTTTACAATGGATGTATAAATACTAGAAATGTAAGAAATCTTAATTTTCAAAGCTTAATCAAGAAGTTTAAAAATGGTAATTTACGAATCTAAAAAAGTTCTCCATGGCACAAACTGCCACTGCTTCGCAGTGATCCAAATACTAGAAATAACTATGCGTTTAGAGTCTATACTATTTGTCAGATACAAGTGAATTCAAATTAAATAAAATATCTAATAAATATCTAATGGTATTACACAAGATAATATCTAGAATTATGTAATTGGCCTTACATATTATTCTAAATATTAAATTCTAACTTGTATATCTCTTGCAGTGGCAGTAAAATAAAACAAATAGTTATGATTTTTCCAATACTATTTAAGCTTTCCCATCTAAAATTATTCATACTCAATGATGTTTTGCTTTTGTGAGAAATCATTTTATTTCATGTAGGTATTTATCTCTTCATTATTTCTGCCCTTCATAATTTAACTATTTCGCTCTGTAGAATTTAAAATAAAAATACCTTACACTGTAGTTTTATGTAAAAAAAATAATAAATAAACCTTGAATTATTTTTAAAATTGTAAATAAAATTTATTTTACTTTTTTCATTCATATTTATCATTAACCCTAATGGAGGGGTTAGGGCAAATATATTTTTGCTTACAACTGAAAATCAGCTCGAAGCGGCCGTGCGTATATCTCTTATATCTATTTAAGGAGTCTGAAATTCGAAGCTGGCTTTACGCTCCAGGGGATATTTCTGCATTGATATATGTTTTGGTCAAAAACAATCACCAAGATGCCAAAGAGAGTTGAGACTTGAAGATAAAAAATTTGATTTGCTTGGGGCTATCTGCAAGTTTACTTCCTTAAAGTCAGTTCATTTCAGTAATGCTTTTTTTAAGCTTTTCGGGTCACTGTCTTTAACGGAAATTTCTATAACTCGTTGATTATTTTGACGTGTGTACCGATACTGAAATATTCTCGGACTTTATGATCGGCTTTAATGTGTAATGAAAAACAAAAAAAAGTGACATTAAGATAATCTACAATTTTATGTTTTTTCCACAGAAATAAGTAAAATCTATGTTAAAATTATTATATTCTGACTATTTTAACTAAATACAAATTAGTTCAACCCCATTCCTAATGCATGTATCAGAGTGAATAACTCAATTCTGTAAAAGAATCAAAGATCGAATGGTACTTTTCAGTTCACCAGCCATAATTTACTTCTTTTTTAACTTTAAGCAGTGTTTTCACTACAGCGCGAGAATCACTCATATTTTTTTATTTTCTCGCATTAAAAAATTATTAACGCGAGAAGTTCGCGCACTGAATTTATCAATTTTAAAATGCACGAATCTCTCGAATTTTGGAAAAAATTTAGTCTTCCGCCATTTTGAATAAGACATGAAAACAGCTATGACAAGTGTTGAGAAAAAAAGTGAGTTCTTTATAATAAGTTGTTTAAAGTTATCTCTAGTTTTCGCTGTTAATGAATTACCAAACTCCCTCATCGACAATTTAGAGCAATTTGTAAAAGTTTAAGTCTGTGAAAACTAATCTGGAAGACCTGACAAAGAGTATGAACATGGAAATAACTTCAACGAACTTCACTATTCCATAACAGAAATAATTGAAGAACCTATGCTGGCAGATGTAGAGGATAGGAAAGTGTGTGCACAATGCTACAAATTTAATTAGTGATTCCGAATAGTTCAGCATCTGTTGCAAGGTTATTTAGCCCCCAAACCGAATTAAAACAAAATATCGTAACAGATCGATTGGTAAGCATTTGAGCAAACCTAATGAGAATAGCTAATGAAAAAGTAGATACAGAACATTTTCCATATGATAATGCAGCAAAAATATTCAATGTTCAATGGTTTAGAAGTCAGAAGATGTTAAAAATTTATTATAATTATTTAAAAATATTATAATAAATTTTTAACATCTTCTGACTTCTAAACTCAGAATAGAAAAAATAGAAATATTTTTTTTCCAAGTCTATTCGTGTTTTTTTAATTTTTAGAAATCTCACCCTGTTTTTGAGAAAGGGTGAGAAATTCTCTCCCATTTTTTTTCCTCTAATGAAAACACTGCTTTAAGTGGCAGCTATTTCTTTTAAAAAAAGAAAGAAAATACTAAATCAATAAAACAGTTTAATTTATTAGGAAAATCGAAGACAGAAAATCAGATGGAGAATTAACAGGTTAGTAAACAGAAAATCAACAAGTCTGAAGATAAATTATCTACAGATGTAAAGAACAGACAACTAGATATGACTGATAAATCAATAGATGAACAAAAGTAAATAAATCAATAGATTGTATAAATTATTGAATTTTTGATTTGCTGATTCAAACTTTAATGGCTCAAATAAAATTTTAATTTGGATCTTTCCTAATAATTATAGCAAGATCAAGTTCATACAAAAGAGTTTAATTGGTTTTAGTCTTAAAAGTGGAGACATAAATTTTTTTTTTTCTTTCTTTTACTATCTTGAATAATAAGATTTTGAAGAAAAAAAAAACTTTTCCTTTTAATACAAAAAATATTTTCCAACACAGCACCGGCTGTATTTTTTAATGTAACTTTTACATGAAAACAACAATTCATTTCTTTAGCAAAAGAAAGTCCAAGGAAAAAAAATTTAAATCCGAAGTAGTAATAAAATACAATATGATTCCAATTTTTAGAAATATAGGGAATACTTTTACTGAATCTGATTTGATCCTTGAGCTTAAAATGCTTGAATCAAATGCTCAATTTTCAAATGTGTATTTCAAAATATTGACAGATTTTGAAACGGAAGTATCCCCAAGAGTAATGATATCATGTAAGAACTATGAACTGGATCACTCAAAAAGTCTAACATCAAATATATATATATATTTTTGAAAAGCTGAAGAAAATAGAGTAAGCTTCAAGTCACTGTACACACTGAAATAACTCATTATTAATAAATTTCCCTGTTAAGACATTTCGGAAGATTTCCGAATCATGATCTACTACAGAATAATCGCCTAATCAACTTCTGGGCAGCAGCCCCCAAGAAACTTTAAAAAAAATCACAGAAAGGGACCAACTCAAAGGCTGTAACTTGCAGCTAGCAATGCAGAGAATTTCTACATTTTTTTTATTTAAAAAAATAGCAACTTTAAAATTCATTTGGCGTGATGGCGATTGTACTTGGCATGACAATTAAAATTGTGGGTGGCAGAGGTGAAATATTCCCCTTCCTAGTTATTATCATCATTTTCTGTAAGAACATAAGAAATTGTCAAAATAAAAAAGGCACCCTATTGTAAAACATTTACTAACTTTCAATTTCAGCAATTAATTAATAAGCACATCTGGGGATCGTACAAATTTATCGATTGTAGTTAATACTCAAATCAATTAATTACAAAAAATGGGTCGCATAATAAATGTCTTATTTACTAAAAGTTATGCTCTTAATTTCAATAAGAATCCAAGAAGAAATCAAGATTTTAGACTGTGATAAGAAAGCTCATACGCAACATTAATATTGTCTAAACAAAAATCAAGTTCCTGAAGGAACACATTAATAATAATTCAATGAACATTGCTTTCTGATATAATGATTAAGTTGATAAAAAAACAATTTATAATATGGACAACGATACACAAAAAATAATGCGACTTAATTCTTGACACTTTCTTATACATATAAGAAAAAATTTCTATTCCAAAAGAAATATGATAAAATAGAATAGCTTTCAAATTTAGTACTAAATTGGATCATTATGTTTTTAATTCAAGGCCTAATTACCTTTCTTTTTATAATTTCCTTCTTTATCAATTACGGTATCCGCCATCTTTCCTGTTTGTGTTATATGCAGTTGCCAATTTAATAAATATATAAAAAAATAATGAAAATCAGATGTTTTGTTCCTGGATGCTTGGATCATTAAGGAATGATAAATTTATATTTACGAACGCACTGTCTTGGCTGACCGCCCTCTTATAACCCTAAACTTTGGCGATCTGGTGAAATGGGTGATTGCCAAACGAAATTTATCGCCAACTGCTTGGATGCCCGCTTTTTGAACGTGATTGANCGATAACGATGAAAACGATGATGTAATCGACCAATCAAATGCCTCTATTTATTAAAAAGGCGGTCAGCCAAGCAACAGCCATTTACGAAATATTAAAATTATATAATTTAATAATGGAATGTAATAAAGCTCAATAAATGTAATTATCATTTGATCTGCATTTAGCGCCCTCTTTTTATTTCACGGTATTCACGTGTTGTTTGATTTGCCCGATCGAGTGTCAATGCTCTTCGAGCTTAAATCTTGTTTTGTTGATAATCTTCAAAATATCGAAATTAGTAGCAATGATGAGAGACTGAACTTAATATTTGTTGTTCTTGATTCAGACTCTAAATTCTATTCCATTATGGATCCAGAACAAGTTATGCGACAATTGGAGAATTCAGCCGAAATATTATTGGTATATGTTTCGTCTCAATTCATAGATTCGATACAAATATACTTTTTGTTGTTACTATGTTGATAGATTTTTTTAATGGATATCTATGTATTTTTTCTAAGATTTCTCTTAATTAAAATATTTTGCACACATTATTGCTTATGCATCTGATTTTTTTGGATGAGTATAACATTTCTGTTAAAAAAATTTCTGCAGGAATCATTCTGAATTTTATTATTTTTATTTGGTCCGTGTAATCGCTCTTTCGCGTTGTTGACATCCTCATATATCTTCAAGCTTAAATATTACTATTAAATAATAACTATTGTTATTTGATGCATAATAGTCCATCATTATCTCCTCTATTTTCTAACAGCCGTCATAAATAAATGTCTATTCATTACCCCTTAATTATTTGATAAAATTGTTTAAGTTTCTGCTCAAAAAATCTAAATTTTCAAATGTTAAAAGGGTTCATCAGTCAGTACAATTGTCTGTATGCTTTGGCCCAGTATTTGAGTCAAATTTTTCTTAAATCCTATCTTTCTTCCAATGCAATAGTGAAAAAAATATCACTTTTAATATGTTTTAAATAAAAGCTTTGCAAATATGAAAAAGAGTTATTACAATTAATTAGTAAAAGGATGTTACAATCAATGGCCAATTACAATCTCTAAAAGTGCCAAATGAATTTTAAAAATGTAATTTTTTCTAAAAGAAACATGTAAACGTTTGTGCGGTGTTGGCTAGGAGTTAAACCCTTTGAGTTTGTCCTCTTCTGTGATGCTTTTTTTTAGTTCTTTGTAAGCTGTTGCTCGGAGGATGCTAAGTCTTGGCGATTATTCGACTGTAGATTATGATAAGAAAATCTTTCTAAAAAATACAAATTGTAAAGACAGCATGCAGTTGTTTTGGTGCCACTTAACAGTACTGAGACCCACATTGAAAAGATTAATATTATCTCATAACTCCTTCATTTGTGGTTTTGAGTTTGTTTTTTTATTATAATATCTTTATTCTTCGAATTTTTAAACATTTATTGAATTCTTGCTTGGTATTGATCTTTTTGAGATATTTTTCTTAAAGCGAATTTTATTTTGAAGGATCTTTTACTAAAAATAGCTTATGCTGTACTGTTAGCAGCAGTTTTCCCAAGCTTCTTCTATCAAAGCTTCATGAACCATGCTAATATTTGATCATGCATCTTAGCAAGGATCAAAATTAAGTAAATCTGAAACATTACCTACGCGTAACCAAAAAGTGATTTATTGCTTTGAATTTATGAGAAAAAAGTTCTTTCCCAAAAATTTACTCTAAAGAAACTGAGCAAAATAAGACAAATAATTGAATAGTTAAATTTATCTGCTTTTTAAAAAAAAAAAAAAAATTATAAGTTTTAAACTATCTGGCAGTTGGCCCCTATTATGGAAGTATCCTCAATTATTTTTGTTTGTTTTTTTAAATTTCAATTTTACTTGGCAAAAGGAAAACATTATTTGCATTTGAAAAGTCAATTTTGTTTATTATAGGTTAATGAAAAAAGGGCTAATTTGTATCGATTTACACATAGAATCGGGTTAATTTTCCTTTAATCTTCCTTAAACTGTAAGTAGTCAAGGAAAAAAGTATATTTGGGGAAACTCACGTTTTTATGTATATGTACAGATATATTGAGTGAGATGATGAATTTAGGAGACAATTTTAATTTCTTACTCAGTTTCAATTCATTTATTTTTTTAATTATTTTATTTATACAAATAGTATTCTAATTAAAATTGTAATTTAAGGATTTCAGTAAATGGCATCTTGCTGTTTTCTAAATACAGAACTGAACTTCATCCTTAAGTTTTATCCACATAAAAAAAATTTCTAAAATCTATGTTTGAACTACAGTTGATTTAAACTATAACTGGTTTTCCGACCACAAGTTCCTAGTTCTTTTAGCTAATTATAGCTGGAGTCCTCATATTATTAGCTGAGATGTCAGTAGTTACTAATTGGGTGAGGTGCTTGCTTAAATATGTGATATGTGAGCATCTCTGTTATGCATAGCATTAAGTCAAAAACTACACAAACAGAAATTTAAAGAAGAAAAATGCATAAACTAATTAATTATTTATTTACTAGTTTGTTAGGGTGTCACTCTTACCTTTTTTGGAGAGATATGACCTTAATTCTGATGCAAAATGCTCACATATATGTCGTGTGAAGAGTGAAATACCAATTTAGTTGTTCTCCACTAAATATGACTTTGGTCAAAATGATGTGACATTCCTAAAATGGCTCTTTAAAAAAAGAGATCTAACAGACAGAACGTACTTTAAAATATGTTGCAAGGTAGAACAAGTTGTGTAAGATGTAGAACTACTTACCTCCATAAAAATTTATGTCCATATCCTGAAAAAAAATTGTATCTCAATAGTTTTTAATCCGCATGTAAGCTTGTATAACAAAATTAGGTACCGTCATGTAGGGCTACTTTGTGCAGGATTTCGCAGTTTTTGAACTTTGACATGTAAAAAAACTATGTTAATTCAAATTTTAGTAAAATTTATTGATATTATATTCATAACTGGACTCAGACGAGTGAATTTGATCAATGTTGGCATAATTTGTATGTAATATTTACAAATAATAAGTCAAAACATACCTTGCACAAAGTAGCCCGCCAAGTGGGGCTACTTTGTACAGAGATAGGAATTCAGTTGATTAATCATGTTTTTAGTAAAATATTGGCATAAAATTGTTAAAAAAGTTAATTGTTGACATTTTTAATAACAAAAACATCAAGATATGCAGGGTGCGTACAGACTCCTTATACTCCTTGGAAATAAAAAAGTCTCCAAGGAGTACTTGGAACTACTACTTAGATTTCCAAATTAGTCCTTAGAGACTCCTTATATTATTGCATTGCATAGATCAGTGGTCGGCAAAGTGCGGCTCCGGAGCCGCATGTGGCTCTTTGGCTCCTTAAGTGCGGCTCTGGCACAAATGTCCACGGAAGGCGCAATAATATTTTCATTTTAAAAAAAACTTGTTAAGAAAAAAAATTACATCTTATTTTGATAAATTAAAATTCTTCTATAAATAGAGAACATGTATAATTTTTTGTTTAAATTAAAAGATAGATAGGTAATTAAAATTTTATATTGTAGTAAAAATCACTTGGACCGGTGCTGTGGCTGATATACATTAACTCGGTTTTTAGCTTTTTTAATTGTATTGATTTTAATGTTTTCCACGATTTTAATCTAAATGATTGCCGCATAATAGCATTCGNTGTTTTAATGTTTAGCACCTTACATGATTTTAGCTGTTCTACGCCCGCCATGTTCATGGGCTGTTGCCATGTCTGATGTGTATTTTATGTAATTTATGTTTCTACTGTTCTCTGGATAATTTTTTTTTTTGGATTTTAATAAACATTTACCCGTATGCCGTAAATAAGGGCGGGTCGGGGTAAATTCTTCCATATTGTAGTAAAAATACCTAACGAACATCGAGTTAAAGTTTATTAGTTTTCGTAAACGTAAACACAAACCATGTACAAGCTACAGGCTGAAATTGTATGTATGTTTTCGGGGTACTCCTGTGTGATACAAAGGTACCACAAGCATGCGCACATACTTTTTCTAAAGGAGTGGGGGTACAAATTGGCATCACAACACAAGTGGTCTGCTTTGAATGACCTGGAGAAGGAAGACATGATCATATTCAACGCTTAGAATAGTATTCCTGACTCTTACGATCAGCTGAAAAAGCTCGCGTTTGCTGTTCTTTACCTTTTCGGTTCTACATATATATACGAACAATCTTTTTCAAGCATGAACATTATCAAGAGTAAACTGAGAAGTCCTCTCATTGATGAGAATGTGGAATCATACCTAAAATTAAAAACAACAGCATACAAACCTGACTTACTCAAACTTTCCAAGGAGATGCAAGCACATTGTTCGCATTAATAAATATTTATTAAGTATGAATTTTAGTTTTATTTAGTGTACTACTTATTTAGTGTAATAAAAGTTTACCAAACAAGCAGATTTGGCTCCCAATTTGTTTTAAAAATTGTTGTAATGTTCACATTTGGCTCTTTGGCTAAAAAGTTTGCCGACCAGTGGCATAGATGAACTTACTAAGTCCGCTGATGAATTTGCTGTCCAAACAAGGAAACTAAATGATGACTTATCTGTCAAAATCTAATAGTTTACGAAAAACTTTAAAAGAAAAAAAATTTAATTGCAAGAGTTAGAAGAAAAAAAATAACAGCAAATTATTTTAATTTTACATTTTACAAGCAAATTTAATTTATAATTTACTGTGATTTTTTTTTTTTTTGGTTTAAAATGCCTTAGATTTTCTTATGTATTCAAATTTAAAAATATAAGATTGTTAGGTTTTTATGCTAATCTTTAACATCTGTACTTTAACAATTAGCAAATAATTTTAATTTTACAAGAAAATTTAATTTATAATTTACTGTAATTTTTTTTTTTTTTTTGAGNTTTTTCTTATGTATTCAAATTTAAAAATATAAGATTGTTAGGTTTTTATGCTAATCTTTAACATCTGTACTTTAACAAGATTTATTACAATATTTGAAACTGAAAAATGTATTTATGTGCAAAAGTGATAGCTTTATTTATTTTGATTTATGAAGTTCGACAAATTCAAAATTTATTTCCAAAGGGCTGGAAAAAAATATACAAAATATACATTTTTGCAAGTTCCTTATAATAACTGCTTTTAAAAAAAAATTCTAGTTATCTTTTACACAAAGTTTTTAAATTTTTGACAAGTCCTTAAAATTTTGGACTCCTTGGATACTCCTTGGATTTCTTCTTCTGATATCTGTATGAACCCTGGATATGTAAAAATATTAGTTAAAAAATAATTTTCAGCGTTAAACTATTTTTTATAAAGAATTTTTTTCTTAAAAAGTATATTTATTTCAAAATATTTGAGTTTAAACAAAAGGAAACCATATACATTTTTGAACAATAAAATGGATGAAATTTCAAAAGTAATAATTATTACATATTCATTAACATTTATAATATTGATAAATTTGAACATAACATGCTTAACTTGCATCATACANTGTCAAAATCACCTGATGTCCTATAAAATATATTTTTGTGTGTTAAATCGTTGATTAATTCATTAGAAAAATCTTTGTAGAAGAAAAATAACAGTTTACCAGCACGTTTCACGTGTTTCTTGTGAATTTTATTAGAGATAGTATTTCTGTGGATTTTGTACTTCCGAGAAGCTTTTGCAATCGGCATACCACCAGCAACTGCTTGCAAACATTGTTGCAGCTTTTCTAAAGTGTAATCATGGTAGTTTCTCGTTCTAGGTATTTTTTTTATAACGTCTGATAGTTTTTCTGTCGAAAAAAAAATGCATGAAACTTTGCACAAAGTACTTTTGCACAGTGCATTTTTTTCATTTTCCGTTTATTAATTTTCATTTATTAACGCTAACATGATATAATTGTAATATATAAATGAAAAATTTTGCACTTACGACAATTGTTTTATCAGCGTCTTTGCATTTCACAGCTAAAGTTTCCACGCACACTTTTCGATGTCCGACGTTCTCGGAAAGTTGTTGACATTAGATAAACAAAACACACTCTGAGATTGTTTTAAAATTCGAAAAAAAATTTGTGGCAATAGAGGAGACTTCTATCTTCAAATTCCACACATTTTTAACTTGAAAAAAAACATAATACTGAATAGCAGCACTTGAAAAGTGCCAAATACGAATTTGCACAAAGTTAAGTAGCCCCACATGACAGTATTTTATTAATTAAGGTTCCCTAAGGATATTGTGAAAATTTATTTTATCATGATCTCAATTGAATTTATTAACCTCTAGCCTACAGCTTATAAGATGTATCAGAATAGTAGGTATACTAAGCAAAAATCTTGATATCCGAATAATTTAGGATGAATCAGATAAAAACTAAATGTAGTTAGCAATTGCATAAATTAGAAAAGAAGTAACTATTTCCTATGAATATTTCTTTAATGAAATAGAAAACAGGCATAATAAATGTAATAATAAATTTATTATTTCCTCTCCAAGAGGCTGTCTTGGCCAAATTTACTACCGTTTAGCAGTACCTTCACAAATCCAACTGAAGGAAAAACGGTAGTTTCACAAAATACCTTTTTCTACAATTTTATTTTGTATTCCGTAAGAAACGATAAATCCATATTTTTACCATATTTTGTGTTGATTGTTAATATAATTTTTAATTTTCACAAATTATGTCTTAATTTTCACAAAATAGGTACCTCTCAATAAAACCTAGACAGACCCCTGCTCTCTATTTCCATATTGTAATTCTTTCACATTTCTATTTAATCATTTAATTAAAAAATAGCAAAATAAAAATTTATTATTACTAAGCTTATTTGAAAAAAGAAAAAAAACCTACCTTGATTGTTAATAAAGATTCCAAAATTCGGAGTGGTTTTGTATCATGACTTTATAAAAATATGTGTGCTTATTAGGGTTTTTTTTTTTTTTTTTTTTTAGTTATATTTTCCTTTCATAAAACTTGATTTTTTTTCTTCCTCTAGGCACCTCCAAATGTTATAAATAGTGAACAAAGGCATTGTGCAGAATCAGTATTTTTGAATTTTCAAAAGTCAAAGAATCCATTTCATATGTGTCAATATATTCTTGGTAATTCTATTTTACCTTATTCTTAATGATTTATTTTTGTTTAAAATTTCTTTTACTAAACAAATCTAACTATTTTAAACTTATATAATAACTATAGCGTAACAAAATTACAGAAAAGTCATTGACAGCAAACTAATGACACAATGCTGTCAACGACATATTTAACTGCTTTTTCGAACAGATTAAATTTATATTTAAGCACATTAATGTGTTTAAAAATTAATGTGCTTGAAAATAAATTTCATATCTATCAATTCATCTTATTGGCATGAAACATTCAAAAAGTAAATAATTGCTCTTTTGTTTGAATAATTAAGAAGAAAAATAGTATTGTATTAGTCAGTGCAGCAACTTTAAAATTGTTAATGTAAATATTTGAATTTAGTAAATAAATAATTTGGTGTATTTAAAATTTATGTGCTAAAAAATAAATTCTGTATTCATCACTTACGCATGATATATTTGGAAAAAAATTTGTCGCTTTTTTGTTTTAAATATTAAGGGGAAAAAAACAACTATTTTAGTGGTATTGTCAGTGCATTAAGGTTAAATTAAAGATTAATTTTTAATTTCCACACTTATTGTTATTAAACTCTTTCTTAAAAATGTGAGTTCTATATTTTTAATACATTGCGAGACAATTTGCTGTTCTATGACCGTTTATAATTCTATGTGTGTCTTGATGCTTTGCATTTTATTTAAAAATAAAATTTTAAGTCGAAGATAAGATATATATTCAGTAAAATGTGTCTGTTTATATAATAAATAATAATTGAAGAATTTAATGGAGAAAAAGTATTAAGTGACATTTTTTCTAACTTAGGAGTATTAACTTTTGAAAATATAGAAATATTAGGAAATTCTTTGCAAAACTTCTTTAGTACTGCGACAAAAAAAAATTTTTTTTATTGAGATTTCTGATCAGACTAATTCAGAATTGTTTGACTTTTACTGTATGTTACATATCTATATTTTTAATTTTCAATGTACTGGGTCTTTATTGATTTCTGATTTGCTTGCTTTTATTTATTTATAAACTTTATGGTGTTATTTTTGTTTTTAGCTAACAGTAAATCTGACTATGTACAATTTCAAGCAGCATCTCTTTTGAAACAAGCTGTTATAAGAGAATGGAAATTAATGGAACAAACAAATAAGGATCAACTCCGGACTGGTCTATTGAATTTTGTTATTCAAAACCATTGGTAAAGTATTGTTCTTAAATAAATTCTTCTGTATATGAAATGAGTTATTTAAAGAAGTTGCATAATTTCTCAAAGTAATTCATTATCAAAATAAGAGAAAAATTTGAAGCTTTTGAGAAATAATTAAAGGTAAGCTAAAAGACAATATCTGTATATAAATTTTGTTCAAAAAAAGTAAACTAATAAAAAGACTAATTGATTAACAACTTTAAAGATGATATGTGCTAAACAGTTGTTCAAAATAAATGAAAACTAGGTAAACTTGTCAGTTTCATTTTTTAGTTCTTCGATAGCTATTTTAATGCAATACATGTTAAATTAATCCCCAGAAATTGAAGTGGAAATATATGCTTTGTTAAAAACTTCATTGGTTTCAAAACATATAAAGATGGCAATAAAAGTTAACATGTTTCAAGTGCTCAAAAATAGAGGCCCATTATCAAAACTTGCTAGACATTAATGAAAGAGAGAAATAAAAAAGTGATTTGAAACACAAAACCTAAAGTTGCCTCCAAAAAATTAAAGCATGTTGACTTTTATCACAATCTTCATGTTCTTTGAAGTCAATAAAGTTTTTTTATCAAGCATTAAATCTATGTATTTGCTTATAATAGCAATTTATCTTCTTTCATAAATTGTCATTATAACAGATTTTAACTGTATTTAGATTTTACATTATGAAAAATGTTTTAAAAGTTGTTAATTAATTTTAAAATTTATATCTTAGCTTACAGAACTATGTTAGAGAGCAACTGTTGTTGGTTGTAGCTATTATGGTGAAGCGCACAAGTGTTGAGCAGGACTCAGAGGTTGTGGCTGATTTTCTAACTGAAGTGTCACAATTAATTAGCAGTGGCGATTCAACTATGGTATGACAGAAAATTATTTTTTAGTTTTTGCTCTTGTAAAATACTTTAAAATATCTTTTTCTTAGTAAATTGTTTTAAATTCTTACTTAATTTTGCCAGCATATTTCTAAAAACATTAAATAAGCAATATGATTGAAAATGTAAGGACATGGAAACTTGATTTCTTTAGGTATATACAGCTTACTAAAATGTGTATCAAGAGGCTAGTTAAAATTTCTTTGCAAAATTTCTCATTTGATCTGTTAATGTAATAACATTTGTGTGCATTACTTACCTTTTTTCGTCCTTCTTGAAGTAGTATTAAACAAAAATATAGTTGATTCTGTAGCATGCAAGGCAGTCTTAATTGTTTTCTTGTGCATTGACAATTATTTTTTCTTTTGGTATTGCCATTTCAAAGGACTGTAAAAAATTATTACCACAGTACCAGTAAGTAGTAGTACGTATTACCATAATATTGGTAGTACTTACTACCACAATTAATCAACAATTAATTGCAGTAATTATTAATAATTACTACCTCAATAAACTGACACAGGGTGCGTAGCGTTTTTAAAAAGTGCTTATTTTCGTTTTTTAAAAGCCCTTAAAGGTGCTTTTTTCCATGGATGTTTTTAAAAAGTGCTTAATTTTCCCTGTTCCGAAATGTGATATTTTTCTTTACCATGTTGATTTTCGCCACAAATTATGCAAAAAGACATTGTTCTATTCAACGTTTTCACAATTAATTCAACCCCAATCTATTTCTGTATGAAAGCACCATTTGTTTTAAATGTTTGATGAAATACTTGCGAGTCCGCACTTGCGTATACTGAGCTGAATTCAGTGGTAAGGATTTTCAACTCTTGTGTGCAACCCTGCTGCATTTTGCAAGAGATTCTCAATTTCAGATTACATTTTCCCCTCTCTGTAATAGAATCGAAAAATCTCTCGAATTTTTGCTGATTGTGGGAACCAACTAAACATTGTCAATTTTTTGTTCTCTATTAGTGATAGAAAATTTCATTTCTCTTGTTAATTTCATCGTTTGTAACGCGCCATCGTCTTTGTCACTGTAAATGAAACCGGATAAAACCATCAACTGTCAAAAACTTGCCAACCCTGTTTAATTATGATGTTTTTAAAAAATATTTTTTGAGTGCTTGAAAACTGCTTAAAAGGTGCTTATTTTTTGTTGAAAAATTTGGCTACGGGCATCATTAAATTATTTGGAGAATTTTCACAGCCTTTAAAACGGACATATTTTTTTATTGAAAAGAAAAACCTTTACTGAACAGTTTTTTAGTAGTGTTATGTATAATCATACTATAATTACGGTGTGCGTAATAATCCTTCTTTATTTTATGTTTAGCAAGCTATTGGGTGTTCCATACTAACAGCTTTACTAAATGAGTTTTCAAGTTCCACAAGAGCCAGCGATGTGGGCCTTACATGGGAAACACATTTGATGGCTAAAAGGAAGTTCGAGGTATTTTGAGTCTTCAACTTATATTTATTCAAACTTTGAAAACAGTGTTTGTAATAGACATTACACAATTAAATAGTGTTATTTGTTAAGTATTTATGCTATTTAGTATGACAGCAATAATATTCAAGGAATTAACAATGTTTAAGGATAGTAAATATTTTTAAAAATGTATATTTTCTCATCTTCTTTAATTCTTAGGCAAGAAAAAAATATTAATTTGTCGAATTTTAACAGTTTTTAGAATTTACTTTGTTATTTGTATTCAGACATAATATGCATATTATTTCTTTAAAATGCCTCTTTAAAACAAAAAGAAGAAAAAAAATGTATCCTCACAATTGAAATGCTACCACTGGATCATAAATTCAAATTTGTCTCCTACTCTAACACATTCACACAAATATTATTGTTAAAAAAATGCGGCCTCATCTAACATATATATGTATATAATCAAATATAATGATTTTTAAAAGTTGTAGATAAACTCAGTGCTGTTTAAATCCAAGTTTAATTTTAAAAAACTCTTATAAAAATTGAACCAAACTCTATGCAGGGGAAGCCTACAATTGAGCTACAAAAAGAATTCTTACTCTTTCTTTGTGTAGTGTAATTTTCATATAAAATGAGCCAAGAAAAATTTAAAAGAAAAAAGATTGGAGGTATTTTAAATATAACTAGTTATGCCTAAGAAGCGATGGAACTGATACTTACACTAAGTGCAATAAAAAAAATCAGAGAGAAAAAAAAATATTATTAAACAGGGTGAACTTGCACATGGTAATATTGAAATAAAGTCTTTTGAGTTTAAAGGGAGTTACATATATTTCAAGCTTTTTCAAAGGATATACTTTTACCATACTGCTGAAGCTTAACAAGAACATTGGAAAATAATATCTAGGGTAATGAACATTAACGAGATTGAATCTAGGGTGTATTGTTACGAGAAGAGACAATGATTATAATTAAGATTTTGGAATTGCAACATTTGTCTTCCTTTTTTCTCCTGTGGAAACTTTATTAAACTAGAAGCTTGGACATACACCTGGAGAAAAGAGACAAGGTTTTAGTTATAGATTTAAAAAGATATATTTAGTTATAGATTATAGATTTTTTTTTTCTTACTTTATCCTCACTTTTCTGTGGCAACATTTTCTCATCCTTTTTTTTTTAAAAAAACAAAAACTGATGAAAAGTAATCTGCTGTTTAATCTGAAAATTACTTTTCTTGTCTGATAAATTTTTTCTTTAAAATCAATCTTAAATATGATTCCCTTCTTCTAACATTTGAATATGTGTCAGATAGTAATCTGTCATATATTTAAATGTCATAAATTTAAGAAATGTTTATTGTTTTAAGTTTTTGCATTTTTAAATTATTCTTTTTTAATGTTCATTTTTGCAGAAAACAGATTTGAAGAGATTGTTTCAGTTTTGTCTGCAAGGTCTCAATGAATTGAACAAAGTTGGCTCACCTATTCCTCCTGAGACTACTAAACTCTTCAAAAAATTTCTAATAATTGCTGAACAGGTTCTTACATGGAATTTTCAGTTTGCAATGATTTGTATCCTTTTTATGATGTTCTTATACTATTTCTTGCATTATTTAATGCATTAACAATTTTTTTAGTTATCTTTTTTCTGGTGCTAAGTACCTCCATTTAAAATACTTCCTTGTATTTAAAAAAAATATATATACATGTTCATTAAATATACAGAAGTGTTTTTATGGTATTGTATTATTTTAATTAAGCCAACTTTATACAGAGGGCTACCAAGTAGGTCCCTTTTTACTCCCTAAGTCTCTTTTTGTAATTTTAATATTTTTTTAAAAATATTTATTTGGTTCTATTTTTCAGTTTTAGTCTCCTCAAGTCTGTGTATTATAATTTTCTAAATTTTAGTCTTGATTCTTTTTTATTATCTACTTTTTTTCTAATAAAATGAATTCTACATATTACTTTTTGCAATGAATAAATAATTCTACTTCTGCCCTTTTTAAGTGCCTAATTTCACTACAAAACAGGTGCCACTAGTTTTTTTTAATTATTTTTTTTATGTGAAATTGTAGTTTTTTTTTTAAAAAAATTCCTAGTTTCCTCTAAAAATTTATAGCTATTATGCCATTTCTTACTTTATTTTGATATTATAATAATTGGAATTTTAAAAAATCTAATATTTAATATTAAAATTTATAATTGAACTCTGAGAAAGAGTTCCAATAAGATTTCATTTTTAAAAAAATCATACTATAACTTTAAAAGAGATCGCTACTTAAAATATGGAATATTTTAAGTTTGTGTGAACATTCTTTTAAAGCTAAGAAGTAATGTTATTCTTCATTAAGAAATGACAAGGCCTGAAATTTTTAGTGACTAGTATCTAGCACAGTATATGCTATATGTTTACAATTCTATGAACAATGCTTTGTTTTTTCAACATCTTTATAATAATTTTATGTATCTCGATAATTTGAAATTCTAATTTTATACTATACATTTAAATGTAACATAAAAACAGTTTTTATAGAAGAAATAAATTATTATTAGAGAAGCACATAATCCTCTTTTTTTTTTCAAATTAAATCTCATTTTTTGTTTTGTTTTTATTGAAACTATGCGAAAAGACCAGTAAATTTTTCTCAAGTAATATTTCTACTAATTCTTTTCATAGCCATTTAATTTTAGTTAAAAGTTAGTGCTTAAAGTTTATTATTCAATTGAATATTTGCTTTTGTTTTTCATTTTTTATAGTTTTTTTTGTTCTTGCTGCAGCCTAGCATTTTCATATCATTTGAACTCTGAAACTGTATAATGTCTTATTATAAATCCTTAGCTATGTATAAGTACCTAGGAAATTGGTTGGGATGTTTGAGTCTCAGCCAAGTCCTGCCTTAAGACCTAACAGTGAATGGCATGATGTGTTTTTAGATCCAAATGTGATAGGCTTATTTTTCAAGGTCAGATTAAAATTTTTGCCTTTTATTTGTACAATTATATACTGTAAGCATAATTTTCTACTCATTAACCTATCTTCAATCAATATAAATATTTAACTGTTAGAATAAAGGTTTGATTAGTATGAAGTAAAGTCTTGATAGTTTGTCTATTATGAAAATATGTGTATATAAAGATCCAATAAAATTATTTATTTTCTTAAAGCAAGCCTTTGAAAACTGTTATTTTATTTGAAAAGTCACAGTTATAGTTGTTTATGTAAAATGACTAAAAATTATTAAAATTGAAAATTATGTGGGCAAAAAAAAAATTGTTTTTCCATGGAATTTTTAATATATCCTTTTTTTAATGCTACCAAAAATAATTAAATAAACTAATACAGGATAGTTATATTAAATTTTTTTATATATGGGACATATTGTTATGTTTGTTGCTACCAGATTATTTTATTTTCTCTTAGTAAATATATGTAGATCCGAAGGTTGGAGAATATAAGTTTTAATTTGAAAGTGGAAGCTAATATTACGAAATTTTTAGCGACTTTCCAAAGAAATTGGTATCAGAAGGAAATTAATATTTCTAAACAATATATCAAATTCATTAAAAAAAATTCCTGCGAGTTTATGATTCATTTTTAGAACTATGCTTAACAAGCACTGTGTGTGAGTTAAAACTAAATGATCAGTAGAAAATCTTAATTTTTGTTAATAATGGACTGTTTTGTTAATAGTAAATACTTATTTCATGCAGGGTTCGTTATCATTGGCAAAATATTAATTATAATAATCTGTGGGTGAATAAAAAATTTTTTTAGATTTAACTGAAAGATTACTAGCCTGGCTGGTAGGGCACTGGGCCCATGTCCAAGAGTTCATGGATTTGATCCCCGACAGTCAAAGACTCCCCGTGTAGTAAATGGTGACTGATGCATGTTGAATCTGTCAAAATTACAAGGCTTCAGAGTTGAACATCGGTAGTCGTAAACCCAAAATTGGGTCAGCTGTTCAACAACTGATTTAAAAATAATAATTGCTGAGGGCTGCAGTGGCTCAGGGGATAGAGTGTTTGCCTTCCAATGAGGTGAACCAGGTTTGAATCCCATCGATAGCTGGTAGATACGAATTCTGCCCCCGTCTTGCAGTGACCTCAGTGGTCCGGCTAGCCTCTGGATGTTTTCGTGGTTTTCCTCTCCATGTTCCACCAAAAAGTCCTCCACAAAGGCAAATTTCTCCCAATACTTGATAAATAAGCTCCCTTGTCTTTTGGATTAGATTCAAAATTACAAGACTACGGAGTTGAACATTTGTAGTCGTAAACCCACAATTGGGTCGACTGTTCAATGACTAATGAAATAAAATAAAATAATCATTGAAAATATTTAGCATCCTACAAAGTTCTATCTACGTCAAAAAAGAATTTAAAAAATGCTGTGTGTTATTTAAATGGTTAGCTTATATTTAAAACTCTGTCATGAAACATAGAATTGTCAGAGAATTTGATTTTAGATAAAACAATATTAGAGAGTAATGCATTTTTTTATGTTTTATAAAATATGGAAAAGCTTTTGTATATAATTTATATATAAAGTGCATTATAAATCTACTTTTAAAAATTTGTGTAGTAAAATTTCCCATCCCATTAGTTAATAATCCCAGGTGTAATATTTGACTATTCTGTCAAAAAATAAGTATCATTATTTATTGCATAAAAAAATTTTTATCTGATAAAATATTGTATTGAATAAATGTGTGGTTTGGAATTATGTTAACATGTTTTTTAAAAAAACATTAAAAGATCAGAGAATCAGGAATTTTTCTTCTAAATTTCAGTGAAATCTTGCTAACTTCTCTTGATGCTAATTTAGTTGTGTTTTTAATAGCTTCACTGGCAAGTTAGGGAAAATCCAGATCTGTGTCATCATACTCTTCAGTGTTTTTATCAGTTAGCATCATTAAATGGCAGTGTAATGAATAAAATGGAAGCTAGGTCAACGTATCTTGGATGGTTCATTGAAAATTTGCTGCGGTTATTATCTAGGTATGTTTTTTCCTATATCCATAAATATACTTTCAATAATAATTTGAATTAAAATCAGATGTAATATTCTAGAAAGTAATGTCAGTGGTCAATCACAGTTGTAATATAGTATATTATATGCATGTACTGACTATATTATTCCCTTATGATCAGTGATAATAAAAAAAAGGCTTGAATCTTATTTTTTTTTTTTTTTAAAGTTAGCTATTTAAATAATGAAAGAGCAAGAATTTGTTAAATAGAAAAAAGTTTTGAAATGTATATTTCCTTTTTAACTACTTTAGTATGTTCTCCTTTAAGTAAATTTGGCAAGTCAATTTAAAAAAGTCATTTTTTTATTCGTAATAAATTTAAGAAACAGTGAAATGTAATTAAATATTTTCTTTCTAGTGGTCCTTTGAAAGACTATGAAGTAATAGGAGTGTCCAATATGATTAGTCGTCTTCATGTGTTTTATCCCAATGCCTATATGTCCAGTATATCTCCGGACGTTTTACAAGCTTACCTTTTAAAACTGACTGATTTAACTTGTCACTTCACCGAAAGAGCAGCTCAGGAAGAATCAGTAATAATTTATAAATGATTAAAAGTTTTTAATTAGATTTGAGTATGTTTTTAGTGCTAAAGTAATGTATTTGGATTCTTTTTTTCAGCAACAGGAAGATAAAGTCTATATGGAAGCATTTGAGCATCTCATCGAGGCGTGGGCTACTATTTTACAGGACAACCAATTATTCCCATCCAATTTGTTGAGAGAATCGGCAATCCAAATATTTAATCATTATTTAAAAACCCATCTTTCAGCACCTGACGAAAATAGAGGCCCTGTGAGTAAATGTGTGCTTTAAATTCTGATTTGAAGATCATGTTAAGGGATATTATAATAAATTACAGATAATCAGCTTTTGAATGCTTGGAAATATGAGATACTCTTCTTTTAAAAATCATTTAATTAAATGCTTGTTAGAATAAATTAGTATATGGTGCTTACAGCTAACCATAAAGCAATTTTGTGGAGATTTAGGTGTTTTTTATGGTTAGACTGTAGAGTAAGGTGTCTTTTTGACTGGCTACTGTATGTTTGAGATATTACTGTATTAATCTGTGTGCATTTTTCTATTTATTAATATAAGGATTTCTTATTATTAGAAAATCTCTTTTTTTTTTAATTCATTTTCCTGGTTTTGTATAAGAACATAAAAATTGCCAAAAATATGTGGAGCATCCTTTTGTAAATTTTATTAATAAGTTATATTGAATTGAGTTTTTTAATTTTTCCAATTTGCATGCAAAATATTCGTCTCAATTATAATTTATTTTTATAAAGTTTACATTTTAAACCTTCACTCTATGAATTTTTGTTTCATTCAAGACATAATATTTGCCTATCAACAAGCAAATACTTATTGAATAAAAAAATATTTATGTTTCTAATAAAATATTGTTGTGTTTACACTGTGTGTATATATTACAAAAATATGCTCTAGAATTTTAGAAAAGTCTTTTCTGGAATAGTAAGGGAATTTTATTTCTGCAATTCAGTGATAACTTTGTAAACGTCATTTCTGTTCTAGTCAAATCCATTTTTAAATATTTCATCTTGTTTTTCATAAACATTTCTTTATGCTCTTGTTTTTCATTCATTATTTCTACAATATATCATATTTATTGCCTTGTGAATGATGTAATTATTCACTCATAAATATTTCTCTTTTTTTTATATTCTGATTTCTGCATTGTACCATAATTATTGCCTGGTGAATGATGTAGTATTTCTGTTATGCTCTATGTTCCATGTTTTTTTTTGTTTTTTTTTTAATATAACATCTTTGTTTTTACTTACTTTTTTATTGTTTTTCACGAGTAATTTTATTCATAGAAATTTATGTATTTATTTCGAGGAGTTAATCAATTAAAATTAACTGCAATTTTTCCCAAACTAATTTGTGCTGTTTACAATTTATTATTTTCACATTATACAGGTAGGAAATAGCAACAAAGAAGAAATAGATGAGATCGAAGAAGATGATAGAGTCAAATATCGTGATCAGTTAACAGCTATTGGTGTATTTGGTAGACTTGTAATTGACCACAGTGTTCCTATATTAGTGAGGTACTTAATACAACTATTGAGTGAAAGTTTACAACTACTTTAAATCTTAGATTACAATTTGTTTTTAATTTTTTTTTCCCATTGGTATTTTTAAATATGTGATTCTTAACAAGTGATTACAGAATACCAAGTTATCAATAATCACCACTTCAACAGGTCTTGAATATGAAATTAGTCTGGCAAAATTATCTGAAGTTCGAAGCCATAAGCATATAATAGGATATTAATAACTAATAAAATTATAAAAATTGTTTAAAGAGATAAGCACTTGCTCAATCATGTCTGGAAATAGTCTTCATTTTTAAAAACTTTGTTTATAGAAATCTACAACAGGTATTCAAGTGTCTTTCAACTATTTAGCCATCATTAATGTTTCAAATTAGTTTAAGTTATCAGTTGTATGACTCTATCTTTAATTATACAGGTTGGCCACTCATCTAGAAAACCTGGAATTATCAGGGAGAAAACTTGAAAACATCTCATCTTTTTTAAAAGATTTTAAGTTGGCCAAGACTTATGAATTAAACATGCTTTACTTTTTTGTGCTTGTTTAATGATTTGAATATTCTAAATAACTTAAATTTTGATCATGAATTTAATTTTTTACTTTCATGTAAGGTTTTAGAAAGAAACATAAGTACATCAATTTTTCATAATTTTTTTGAATATATCTTTTTGCTCATTATGCTAGATCAGAACAATCTTGGAGTTGTACATCAAATTCCACCTACCCAGCGAACCATCCAATTTATGTGAATTCTACATTATTTACAGACAATTGCATAGATTTTTAATGGAGTAATATTGTTTAATTCATTGAATCACTAAGGTTTCTTTTTTATGCCATCTGCATATTTGAAATCTGATAATTTTTTTTTTAAAGAAAAAAAAAAAAGTCGGAACTGATTTAGATCTTTTGATATATCTATTTGTAGCTTCATGCTGTCATATTTTATTTTAGTTGTGTCTAACAAGTTTAACACACATTTCTAAAACCTGGGACTAACAAGGAAACTGGTATTTTTCTGATACGCTTAGTACTAGAATTTATCACTGATTTGATATCTTCAAAAATCTTGCAACATACTACACGAAAATTCTAATTTTAAGGATTTTAAATAATCTAAGGTTTATCTTTAGTAGTACAAAATTTGGCCTTTGCTATAACAATTTCCTATCTACCAACAATATCTACTACTGTGTATTTTAAATTCAATCACTTTGGGCATGGTCCCGAGAGCTTGGAAAATCATGATCCATTCCCTTTGCCCTATTCTAGATTGCTGACTTTTGTCTAGAAAGTCCTTAGGTTGTAAATAGAAAAGATTTTAAAACCAGTAAAAACTGTTCCAAAGAAAAGAAACTGTTAGAAATTTTGTATTACCAGATCACTTTGAAATCATTAATTAGTGTGTTATTGTGTGGTATATCCTTCCCCAATACTGACTGCAAGACTCAAGGAAAGACATTCACGCATTTTAATCACACATTTTGCTGACACTGCACCCATTGTAGAAATACTGAAATTTCTCTATCGCTCCCAGGTTGCGGAAAGGTGTGTAAAAAACTTGTGGCAGAGCTTTGAGTAAAATACGCAAACTACAACTGGAGATGATATATGCGAGCGACACTAAAGTCATGATCAGTTATGCCTCATCTCTTAAAAAAAAAAATTTAACAAATCTGAATTGAAATTTGTAGAAGATAAAAAAAATAATATTTAACTATGCAGTAAGCCAAAGAATCCTACTGCATTGAAAATCTTTGTATATAGTTATAAATAAGGCCCGGATTTTGATGACATTTGCATTTTTGAACATTTTTTGTCTTTTAGAGCATTTTTTTAGATTTATAGGGCATTTTTCTTTAAATTTTGGGGCGTATTTTGCATTTTAATGCATTTTTTAAAGTTTTTTGTTAATTTTTTCCAATTTTTACTAATTTTTATCAATTTTCATTATTACACTGGCTTCCAAACAATGAAGAAAATCTGTGGAATATTAACAGGTGAAGCAAAATCTTTTCAAATTGAAGAAGAATTGTAAGTAAGTGAAACCGTCTTTNTTTATCCCCACAAAAAAAATTGTTAGTTGGGTAGAGTGTAGGTGGAACTAAATGTGCAGCCATCTTCACGTAGTAAGATTCAGATCATTAGGATCTAGAATAATGAGGGAAGATATACATAGTGGACTGTGGGAGCAACGTTGGCCCACTTAATATTGTGCCCCTGAAAGAGTGGCTAACAAATCTTCCCTACTGATACCTCAATGACAAGTGTCAATCAGATGGGCATTGGGGGAAAAAGATAAGAAAAAGATTTCTCAAGACTAATTTTTAATATCTTTATAACTCTCTTTTAATTTGGTATTAACATAAAAAATATAATGATTATGGAAAACTAAAACTGTATAACTTAGGAAAACTTGTTATTGCCAATAAAAAATTTTATTTTTATTTTATATGTTAAATTAGCAAAATCTTAGATGATTTACTCAACTGCAAGAATATCAATGATAAAAGATTTCATACTTATTTGAATTTGAGCTGAAAAATTACAAAACTGCTTATGTGCAGTCGAAAAATGTTTAACTGAAAAATGAATAAATAAAACATTTTGTTAAATTAACTTCTGTCACGCACTTGACAAACAATTGACCCTGTTCTAAATTTTTTTACAGTACTTCTTTTATCGAAGTTTGTAACAAATTTGAATGTTCTAAGAAATAGTTAAGCACTTAATGATTTCAAATTTACTTTGAACAGCTGGAAATTTTTTCATGAATATCTTTAAACTTACTGTAATCTCTTATATCTTTTAATTTTAACATGTTTTCAATTTTAGATTAGTTGAAGACCGAATTTCTCGATTGCATGGTCAGTTACAAAGAATTCACCAGACTGGTGGAGCAAATGATACCTCTGTTCTTGACTGTTTGAACGAAGACATACATTGGCTAGTCATGATATCTGGTATAATTCACTTTTTTCAGTTTGTTTTTCTATGACAGCTTAACAATTGTTTGATTGTATAATTCCTCTGAATGAATTTAGTCTTGTTCTTCATACTCAAAATAGTTTTTTACTTCTAAAATAAATTGCATTTTAATGTCCAAGCTTTAGCAAACTTCAACTTAGAGTACATAAATGTCTAATACTGTGTATTTCTGCTTGACAAGTCAGTTTGTTTTTCTGACCTGTTGTGTATTGTTTGTATTCTTTTTTACTGTGTCGTTACAAAGTAATTAAACTTAACTACAACGTGTGTTAAAATTATATGATAAATGGTTTCATAAAATCAAGAAAACTAACGATGCAAACAAAATACCTTCATTGGTACTCACAGAAAATAACTAACAAAATATCTTTATTGGTAATTACATAAATTAAACTAGAGATGCAAACAAAGTACCTTCATTGGTACTCAAAGAATTTGCCATTAGCACTGATTTGACATCATAATTGGACAGGTGCTGGACGCTTCGGCTTTTTTCTGTATCACTTGAATTTAGCTTCTTTAACACATTCCTATTTATTTGTAAAATGTTCAAACTACTCAGAAACAAACTATTCTCTTACGGCTTCCATGCCGTATTTTCACTAATGCTTTATATATCTCTTTTGCAGTTTTATCTATTCCAAACAAAATTCAGTGTTTTCAAGCAACTATAATTTGCTGTGATACACCTTCTGTCACTAAAGGTGTAATAGTACTCACAATGGCCTAACTGTACTTATTTGAACCAAAAGAGCACTAGTTGCCATGCTTTTTACTATGTTAGCCATTGCATCCTGACCAGTATGGGCATTCAACTATGGAATCATTCATCAAACATTTTACATGTTTACTTTAAAGTGTAATCTGTATTTCAGTATGTAAAAGGGATTTATAAAACCATCTTTGATTAAAATTGCTTAAATGCAATTTCTTTAACCAGAAACACAAAATTAAATTTAGCTTTTAAAATTAATTTTAACACAACTAAATTAATACTTTAATATGAAATTTATTGACTTAAATAGTTTACTGATTGCTTTTTTTAAAAAATAAACAAGCTTTCATTTTTTTATATTGATAAAATTTATATTTGTATTAAGTACTATTCTATTATATTATCATCTTTATACTTGTGGCAGTTTTCCTCTCCTCAAGAAAATTGATTTCACAATAAATTTACTTTTTGATTTTCGAAAATTTTGTTTGTTTCTATTAAGGTCATGTGCTTTCATCAATAAGTGAGGGTGAAACTGCACTAATTCCTTCTAAAATCATAAGATATTGCCTGAGTCAAGCAGAAAATGTAAATGTTGAAACAACACTTCAGGTTTTAGCTTCTCCTACTCACAGAACATGTGACATTCCAGGTGCTGAAGTTTCTACTGATTTAGTTGTAAGGTAATTGTATTGCTTAAAATTTGTTTTTATTAAAGGCTGAGGTACTGATAAAACAATATATACTTATCAGGCATTAGCCGGGATTACCTGGTTGGCAGGGCGCTGGACTCATGTTTATGAGAACGAGAGTTTGAATCCAGCCAAAAACTCCCCGTGTAGTAAATTGTGATTGGTACCCGTTAAATGTGTCAGGTCACAAAGTCCTCCATGCTAAAGTAACAAATCAATACCTCTGTGGGAACTGAATTGGATATTGATCGTTCTCTGGTTCATTTCAAAATTACAATCTACGGACAGATGAATGAATGGGTCCGCCCTATAAAGAGATGTGGCAGAAGTCGAATTCTTGGCCATAGATGGTGCCACTGGAAAACAAGCACAAGCACAGCCTCTCTGCCTTAATGGCCGACGACAACAACAAGTAACTTCTTCAAGCATTATGTTTAAAATTTGTGACTATGCAATACCAGAAAATAGTATAATTCCTTATTCTCTTTATCCTTGCATTTGAAGAAAAAGTTTCTATTGTTTTATGGAAATTGCATTTACAATATACTGGGCTGATTGTGCTCCGGAAAAAATCCGGATTTTTTGCCAGAAGTTTCCGGAGATCGAAGGTCCAGACGTTTCAAAAAATCATTCATCGCAGAAGTTTCCGGAAATCAAATTTTCAAAGGTGGAACCAAAAAACACAGTTTATTTTATTTGTTTGTAAGGGAGAGCCAGAGAGATACTTTATAAGCTTATATTCGTGATTAATTTTCATTTTTTATCAGTAAATAGTTGTTGTAATCATAAACTCAAGAAAGAAAGACATATTTGTAAATTTTAATTACTTCTCCAGATCATCATAGGTATGTGTGAATGGTATAGGTATGTGTAAAATTTTAAATATAATTTAAGTAAACTAAGAAATATTGAGTAAAAGGAAGAAAAAAAACATTGCTTAATTTTTTTTTCTAATTTTTCAATTTAACCCTTTCGCGACGCAAAGCGCGAAAGCGCGCTTACCGCTGAGGCCGGCAGTCTCTCTAGCGTGTGTCTCCCCAGGGCCGGAGGGTTTTTCGATGTTAAGCCTAATTCCATGAAATTACCGAAATATCAGCGCGTTGTTTAATATTGTTCTGTAGAGTATTTAAGTGACATATGCTTTATATATATTTCTATGGATACTTTATTTACTTAAGTTATTTCTTGTTTAAATGTAATATAAATATTAATAAGTTTAAATATTTTGCATAATTTCCTCTATTTCCAGCTCAGTTAAAAATTTTCGACGCTTCGACATTCTAACGGTAAAAAGAAAAAAAATTCAAGCCTACAAGATCTAATTATCCACTAAAAACTAATCCGAAAATCGAAAGTAGCGAGAGAAAAAAAAAACTCCCTTACTTACTGTAAATAAATATCACGTGCTAATTTAAAGAGCCCTCATAAAACATTCCCCCCCTCCACTCCTTCCCCTAAAAACCACGTGACTGTACTTTCATCTTGAGTAGAAGGTCAAATCTACATGTATCTGAAACCATATGGACATACAATGCCATCTTTTGGAAGAAATTTCATTTTTTAAAACGTTCCGAAACGCTGGCACAAATAAGTGACGGTCGGGGGTGAACGAGAAAACTCTCTGACACGCGGGTGTGTCGGTCGGGAAGTGAGCGCGTTTCTTGCTGGCACATATATGTGACAGTCGGCTCGAAAGGGTTAAACCGGTTTTTTTTTTTTTTAACTCTAGAAATTTTTCCGGAATTTTGATTTGGGCTCATAATCACCCCTGAATGTATTAAACCTACTGTAAAATTACATTTGTTTAAGAGCTGTGGGTAATAAACTTTGGTGCATAAAATATATCTAAAATCATTTGACAACCTTATAAAATATTGTATATTTATTAAAAGTAGATTTTAGTATAACAACATTACACTAATGAGTATTATGTCATATCCGAAAGTTTTCAATTAATATGTGTTACCCACACTTTTGGAGAAGAGATTTGTACTCGTATTAGCATATTTACACAAAGGCTAGGAACAACGCAAACAAACTATTTTAACTTAGTGTTATGAGAAAGATCCAAAAGCGGCTTATGTAAATACAACAAATAAATATGTTGATGACATTCAGACGTTTAAAATGGTTATAAACTTGTTTTATATATCAAAAGACTTTAAATATGGGGAGGGTTTTCTTTTTTTGAAATTTTTTTGTTAAAATTATGTTTTAATTAAAAATAAAGGTGCATTCAGTAAATCAAAAAGCAAATTCATAATTTTTAATCCTTTATTTATTTAGGCTTATAGCTGCTGTCTTTAGGCTATGTGAAGTTGAGAAACGAGCTATTGAAGCAAATTTAACGCATCTACTAAGTCCTGAAGTAGGACTTACATTGGTATGGTTTTTGGGTCGTTTCTGTATCACATATTTATTACCCAATGAGTCTTATTACAATGAAGTAAGTTTACTTTTTCAAATATAATTTGCTGTTTTAAATATCTTTATTATAAAAATGTTGTAGATAAACTCATTATTTGTATATATACATACACCGAAGAGCCATTACATTATGACCACCCTCCATCTATACAATGGGCTCGTCCTGGTTTTCATGGTTTTTCGCCCATGAACGATGTTTTCATGAGGCACATTAAGACCCATAATCCTCATAGAGCAATCCCTGACGTCTGTAAGCTACTTAAACGTAGTTCACCCATTCATGGCAACAGTTTTTCCTGCGGGGGATGGTGTTTACCAACAGGATAATGCACCATGTAATAAGGATCGAATCGCCATGGATTGGTTCGAGGAACATTCCAGTGACTTTCAAGTCATTTCTTGGCCCCCAAATTCACCTGACATTAATCAGGGCTTCAAGTGCTGCTCATTTTGCGCCAGATCGGTATATTTGCGCATCACTGCGCAGAAACGGCATTTTATGTTAAATTTGCGCCGAATCTGCGCCAAAAAATTTTCGGGGACCAACTAAACATTACCAAATTTTAATAGCATAAGAAATTTTTTTTTCTCTTGTTGATTTCATCGTAATTGAAATGCCATCGTCTTCGTCAATGGCAAGGTAATGGCCTTCTTGCGCTATTCTATTTATAGATTAGTACCATGATCTTTGAATTAACTAGGGGACCATCCACTAAGTACATATTTTCATGTTGATCCTCAGAACAGTCAAGAATTACAAAGCTTCATAACTTCAAACTTTCCATCTCCCTTTTATTCATTTCATTTAATAAAGATAAGTAACGTAAATAACGATCATAACGTAAATTTTTTATCTGAGGGACCATCCACTAATTGCATATTGTTTTCAAACCAATATTTTACTTTATTACTTTTTTTTACTAATATTTTTTTTTACTTATTGCATTTTATTATTGTATTATTACCTTCAAAATTTTCAGTGCTCTTACTTTGTTTTAGGAAATAACTTAATAATATTTAGAGGCAAAATTTTAAATAAGTATGAAGAGAGGGGGTTTCAATATTTTAAATGCAGCAAAAAACTTATGTTTTTAAGATTTTTCATTCAAAAATACTTCAATTCATCTTTTAATGATTTGATTTACAGCAATTGATATAAAAAAATTTAATTGTCACAGATTTGTTAAATATTATAAGTGTAGAGACAATATAATAATTTACTTCTGACAAATTTTTTTTAGCTTCAATACTCATTGTATTTGCATTTAAAAATTATTTAATTTTTTTTAATCATTTCATTAATGAAATACTTTATAAGTAACCAATTTTAATAAAAATTATTAGGGGCCATTGACTAATTTACATTTGTAATATAAATTTATTAAAGTTTTCTTAATTTGCTTAATTCTTTACATATTTTTATAAATTTGGTATGATCAATATTAATCTTGTTAATGTTTTGTTGAATATACTATTACAAATTACATTTATTTAAATTTTAAAAAAATTACACTCGATGACCTTAAATAATAGTTAAATTAATTACAGTTTTGAATTGCCTTTTACAGAATTAAGGAAAGTAATTATTAATTTAAAAAATAGTGTGAGCCATTCAGTATTGAATTTATTTAAATTTCTTTTGTCAAAAGCTATTTTTTTAAGAAATATTTCGGCAATATTAAATAAATTTTTAGGTCTTTTAAAAACTGAAACACTATTGATTCACTTGCTGTATGATGAAATGGTGTTCCTAGTTAAAGCATTGTTAGGGTGTTTTTTGAAGAGTTCTGCTTTTCATGTTTGTCAGGAAAGGACTTAAAATCATTGGATGTAGAAAACACAGAAATTTGGCAAAATTAAAATTTGATAGAAGTTGGACTAGATACCACAAAGGCGATGACATCCTTATCTTCTTCAGAAAAAAAAAATTATGTATTTAGGTGCAAGGTCTTTTTACTTGGCATGCGCAAAAAATTTATTAAAAATATTGCCTCTTAAAAATAGATTATTGTACCATCTTAAAGTGTTGCATCCTGTAATGAGAATGGAAGAAACTTCTATTAAGTCAATAAGATATCTAACAACACTAACCCCATCCATTATAAAGCCTGGAGAGGCATCTTTGTTACTAGATGAAGGGACAAGGTTACATGGGGAACCAGAAAGTTATTCTTCTGACTCAAATGAATATGCACAGATTGATGTGTTTTGGAAAAACTATTTTGTGAAGAAAGATAATTTTGGGAATTATCAAATATCCTTTTATAACATAGCTCTTTTGTGCGTACCACATGGGAATGCCGATATTGAAAGAGGTTTAAGGGTGAACAAAAAGCTACTTGACAATAAGGCAAGTTTAAATTTGCATGGTATGAATGGTTTGAGAGAAGTTGTGTCATATATCAACAAAATAGGGATTTAAATAACTTTTAAAGTTGACAAAGATATGATTAAAGTGGTAGCATTTAAAAATTATTCTGCTCGATTAGAGGTTGAGAAAAAAGAAAGAAAAAAGCGAAAAACACTGAGACTGAGGAAAGCAGATTGAAAGCTGCTGAAATTGATTTGTAAAAAAAATTGAAGGCTTCTCAGGATCTCTTAGCCGCAGCTGAAAAAAATATTAAAGATAGTTAAAATAATAAAGACATATCAATTATAGAAAGCGGACAGATCCTCTTATCTGAGGCTAAGTCGAGGATAGCAGAATATTAGACAGCATTGGAAGGTACCAAAAAGAAACTTAATTTTTTAATGCAGGGACCTTCAAAAAAGTGTAAAAAATTAGATAGGTTATTAATGAACGAAATTTAAAATTCTTGTTATTAAATTCTTGTTTTAATTCTATTTATTAACTATGCTCCAAATCTTTGTTTTGCTGCTCCAAAATTGCTTTTTTGTTGCTCCAAAGATCCTCCAAAACCATGTTTTTCCACTTGAAGCCCTGCATTAATCCAATAAGGCATTTGTGGTCCTACATGGTAAACCGAATTCGTGAAGCTACCCCCTTGCAATGTGAGGGAATTGCAATACCAGTTAGTGAACGCTTGGTACCAGATACTTCAGACCTATCACCACCTTGTGGGATGAATGCCACGGCGGGTGCTAGCAGTTTTGAGGGCTAAAGGTGCTCCTACATGTTATTGACAGAGTGGTCATAATGTAATGGCTCTTCAGTGTATATATAGGTTTACATATTTATCTTAGTTTGATAAAGCAATCTTAAATTTAATATGCACGTTCAATACTCAATCCTTTAAATAATTTGAAATTTCAAGCATAATTTGTGTGATGTTACTAAGAATATGACTTAATTACATTGCACGATAAGGATAATAACGAGTGTGTGATATTTTTAGTTCCAATTAATAATTGTACTGATAAGTGAATGTTCTTTGCAAATCTCATTTTCCACTACTTGAAACATTTCAACCAGTTACAGCCCCTTTCTGCTGTAAATTTTTTCTATGTTATTTCATAAGCATTATTTAAATAGGAATAAAAATATTTTTAAAAGCTGACTATTTTTTAAAAGTTTGGATTTTCTAAATCTAACAAACTTCGTCTTGTTTATGTCCAAAATTAGTTCCCTCAACAAAAAAAAAATTCTAAATTTAGTTAATATAAATTTTCTTAGTTATATCTGCTTTTTATCTGTATGTTTACTTGTACTTTAAATAAATATCTTACTAAAATGTTTTATATAAAGGAAACAAATCCTAAATTGTTCATTTGAGTTGATAAAACATGTCTTTTGTCTATCCTGTTATTATTTTTGAAAAATTCACATGTTTAAATCCTTTAAATTTTTTGCATCCTGAATTTTTTTAGCGAGGAAAAATACTGCAAAAACAGTGCATGCTCTACTTTTTTTTTCAGTTTTAGTAAAACTCAATTAAAACCCTTCCTAAGTTGCAATTATGTACATTTTATTGCATTAAATTGTAATATGCAAAAATTGCAGAGATGCGTTTTGAATGAACCCCAAATTATACAGCTGATTTTTCTGAGTGTCCCCGAGACAAAGCTTGCTGCTCACTATTTGACAAAATGTGACAAATGTTGTACCAAACCACATTACTAAGCATGTTAACTAAGATTTTCTTAAAAAAGCTGCAATAAAAATAGTTTTTATCTTAAAGAACAGTTATCAAGTTTGTCAACTATGTGACTCATCTATACCAAAGTAAAAATTTTCTAATTCAAACATATTTTAAAATTATAATTAAAAATGAATGTTTTATTTTGTTTTTCTTACTCGTTATTGTAACACACAGTTTGCATGTTATGAAATACATTGCGACTTGTGATATTCTCAGCCCGTGAGAATTGTATAAAATCCTTCGAATATAGTTGTGCTCTTGTGGTGTTGGAATGAAGCAGTTCCCAACATGTACGGTCTATGTTTTTTTTTCTCCTGTAAATTTGAATGCATTCTATCACCATGTTCGATTCTTTTTAATATCTGTTTCATGTGTTGTACCGTTTTTGAGAATAAGAGTGAATATTACATACGTTTTATGACTCTTCTATTTTATCATGCCTCTAAATGTCAAGCTTCATTTAGAATCGTAACCCCAAGAATTATTTTGTGCCACCAAAGTACTTTTTTCAAGCTCTTTGGCTATATACATCTTATTGTTTATTTAATGGAATTTATATAATTAAATTAATCTGTTGTTATACAACCTTTAAAAAAGAAACAGCGACGGAACATGGATTAGAGTCCCCCTGTCGTCAAACTAATTGTTGGGGGTTTTCTGTATTTTTTTCTCTGTGTCATGGATTAGAGTCCCCCTGTCGTCAAACTAATTGTTGGGGGTTTTCTGTATTTTTTTCTCTGTGTAACGCAAATGCAGTTTAGTTTCATCAAAAAGTCCTTGACAATGGTATATTTCTCCCAATATTTGCTCTAGTAGTTCCCTTGTCTTCAGGATTGGGTTTGAAATTACAAGGCTACGGAGTTGAACATTAGTATTCTTGAACCTAAAAAATTGGGTCGGCTATTCAATGATGGTTGTGAAATAAAATAAAAAAGTATAGCATTTCCATAGTAATGAACATTGAATAATTTATATTAAGTAATTGATTCATTTATTATTTTGTGTGCAATTTATTTTTTAAAAACATTATTTTTTTTATAAATTTCTCTTTAATAATCTTCTATTCATTTTTTTTTATTTAATAAAATTTAATTTTAATACAATTATAGCTAAGAATAAAAAATTTTCTTTAAGAAACATTTCAATCATTAAACTGATTGCATCACTATGTTAACTTGTTATAAAAGAAAATTGTTTCATAGCATAATAATTTTAATATCCTTATAACTTGTATTTGTTTTTGGGTTTAAAAATATGTTATTTTGTTAGGATTTTAAATCAAATTCTTAACTAATACTGTGATTATCAAAAATACTAATTTGATGGCATGCATTTTAGATGAGTTTGACACTGACTCAGGCATTTGGTAAAGATACTGAAGCTGGTCTATGGACACTAAATTTTGTAATTGGAAAACTAGAATCGAATCTTTCGCTTTGGACAAGTGAATCAAAACTAGTGACTGAAACAGCATATATTCTTACAATGGTCCTAAATAATACTGAAAGGTAAATGTGGTTTCAAGCATGTTTTTAGAACATGGGTGAAAGTTTTCAGTTGATTGACAAATTTCAGTCTTTTTTAAAAATTTTGAGGCAAAGTAAAATAGTGTAAAATTTAAAAATGGTAAATAATAGTAAATAAAAAAAGTCTTTTACTCTAGCTTCAACAAAGTAACTTCTCTCTAACTTCAATTTGTGTTACTATTCTATTGAACTTATAATATAATTGAACACATTATTTTTCTTAATTAGGTATTCATATTTGAATTTTATTTTTAAAGCATAAATTATTACATAATCATCTGTACTTTAATTTATATTTTCTATTTTTAAAGAATTTTTTTATTAAGTGTAAGGAGCCTTATTTTGTGATTTATTTACTTAAGAGCTTAGGGCATTTCTTTTTACTTTAATAATTTCAGTCATAAGAATTTTTGCATCTGTCACCTCTTGTTTAGAAAACTATACCTTTTGATTAGAGTAAAATTTTATAGATTTTTTTATTCAGTGAATTAAACACTGAGTGTTGGTTGTATTATAAACAAATTAGCTATTTCAGTAATGGAATAATTATATTTCAACTTAAATATAAGGGTTAAAAATAATAATGTTATAATATATTTGCAATTTTCTTCATAATACTTTTTATTGAACAGTTAACCTGTATTTCGTATTAAACTTATACTTCTTATTGTTCTGGTCATTAATAAGTTTTTTTGTAGCAGTGTACTATTCTTAGCAGCATTGTATGGAACTGAAGTGTTCTGTATCAGTATTGTATTCCCTGATAATCTCAATATAAACTAATATTTTCAAATAAAATATAAAGCAAGATGAATTAAGACTTAATATTTTTTAGTATTTAATATGTTTTTTTTCTTCCAAAATTGCTCAACAAATTCAATTATATAACCAAGCTCAAGTTATATTTAAATATTTCTGATTTGGTTAATAATCTTATAATTTTATTTTATCACTGGCTTAGAAAAGTCATGGCTATATCAGTGTTCAGTTCTGTAATTTTGAACAAATGCAAGAGACAATGAGGCTGTTAAAATAAAGAGGTTATGTTCATAAAATTTTTTTTTATTCATTCCTTTTGCTTCTGCTTTTTCAATTTTTGAAATGAAATTACATAGTAAAACTTTTTAAGAATGTTTTTCCAAAAAAAAAAAAATGTCTTCTTTACGCTGATTGTATTTCTGTATTATTTCCAGGGGTGATAAAGCCATAAACTGTTCTTCCTTGATTAGTTTAGTTAAAAAGCAATCCAGTGGTGTCTTTCATAACCTTCCTACTGCAGCTAAACGTTCATTGCTCAAATCTTTAGTTATTGTTGGTACTGCAAATAAAACTCCAGAAGTAAGAGACAGGTATTGGGAAGAAGTAAGTAAATTTTGTTTTTAAAAGTTCTACTTATTCAAGCCTGCCAATCGCTACGCTTTTTGTGAAATATTTTATAGAGTAGTAGACATTTAAAAATTAGAGCTTTCTGAAATTTTGATAATTTTTCCAGCATTTTAAAAGCTTCTCCACGAAAGAGCTAGAAAAAGGTGGTGTTGCATAAGAACTTTTAAATCTTTTATGCATCATGGTTGTGGAAAATAAGTTTAAATGAATAAAAACATAGCTATCACTAAAGTAAATATTTACAAAAAGCATAGAAAGTTGGTAGTTCTGTAAGTAATTGCTCTCAATATATGTTGAAAAGGAATATATTTTGACTCTTTAATGTAAATCAAATATGATACTGTATAGAATATTACTGTAGCATTTACAAATCAGACTGTAACTCTCGGTTTTAAATTAAGTGCAGTGTAATACACTTCTGTATTTCAAAACAGAAACATTTAAGTGTTTTTAAGTAAAGCTATTTGATTTATTTTTTCGTTTGTTGATCAAAAGTTTTCATTACCTTCAATTGTCTATTAATTCATTATAAAATCATTAATAAAATAAAACTCTTCAAATTGTCTCAATTGTATTCTCAAAAAATTATTATAATATGAACCTTAAGAATACAAACTGTTACACTTTTACAATAAGAATTTCCCCAGCCTTAAGAGTGTATATCAGTTACATAATTCAGGTCCATGAGCTCTCTCACTCTCACCAGGGAATATAATTTAAAAAGACACTGTTAAGCTCAATTTATTAACTTGTTCAGATGTACTGTTCAGAGTCAGATATTAGAATGAAAAAGTTAGGCATCAATTGCATCGAATGATATATTTTTCTTAGTTGCCAAAAGTCTGTATTTAGGTGCTATTTTTAAAAAAAATTTCTAATTGTTCGGCAAAAATTCTTTCACTTCCGCTAGTTGTTGGCCTCGATGTGTATCCATGTAATTTGATGGTAAAAAAATTTTTTACAAAATGGAAGACTTGCTGTGAAAAATATGGATGCTAATTAAGATCATGAAATAGAAATTTTTTAGAGAGATAAGAGAGAAAAATGATGACTGGCTGGGAAATTATTCTAGTAAAACTAATATTTGTTTGCATAAGTTAGACATCAAAGGTGACAACTAGGCTTAAAAATTATTGATGTAAAACTGAAATTTTTAAGTGCAAAGTACAGCCATTGATTGCCTATTTCAAATTTTGGTTCTGATACTTAAGAGGCCAATCTCTCCTCATATAATATAGTTTTAAGCCTCTTTTTTTTTTTTTTAATTTTCACAAATAAACTGATGATGGGTATTTACTTTATTCGGCAGTATCTTTCAATACATGTAAAATAAAAGGCCGTCACCTAATCAGATATAAAGCTTTCAGTAATTTATATTCTCTTTTAATTTTTTCTTACAAAATTAGACCAATATAGTTTTTTAATCAGTAGTTTTTGAAAAGTAGTTTAATAGTATCTACATTTGTCTATTTTTAATTTTTGATTAATATTTACGTTTTTGTGCAATTCTCATGACGATAATAATAGTCGAAATCCGTTTTCATCAGTTTAAACTGTAAAAAAAATTTGAAAAATCTAAAAACTGACAAATGTGTAGTTTTGGACTGAGGTGGCTCAGAGAATAGAGCGCTAGCCTGTCAATGAGTTGGCCCGGGTTTGAATCCCTGCAATGGCTAGTTGATTCGAATTCCGCACCCGGCTCACACTGACCACAGTCAGACATATGATTCGTCCTCTAATTCGGGGAATTCTGTGAATCTCAAGACCGTTGATTCACGAATCGATAAATCTTATGCCCACAAAATTTTCTTAGAGCTCCGCTAATCTAAATTTTGTCACGCAAAATTTTGTTACCAAAACATTTATGCCATTCTTATAAGCACCATCTTTTTTCTTAGTTCTCATTCATGCATAATAACTATTTTTTTTTATACGAATGTGTTAAAGAAAAATGCAATTTCGGATAGACTTGGAGAAGACGAAAGAGTGGTACAAAAATTACATAATAACTTCAGCTAGAATTAATGAACTCCTTAGGCAAGCAAAAAAACATTGATCATATAAAAAGTAATTCTGAAAGTGCAAACATTTTAAAGATAGTTCATTTAATTTTTTTTTTTACAAGTCAAGTTAATTTGATCAAGTTAATTTTTAGTATGATATTATGACATGGAAATTTCGAATCGCTCTTTTCAATACTGTCGTAAAGTCCTGTTTTGATCATTTTTTCTTCTCTTTCGTATTTAAATCTCATATTTGAGTGATCAGTTTTTGATGTGCTCGATTTGTGTCAACGCCATTGTAAATCTATGCAGTGTTTCGGTCGTTTTATCTTCTACTATAGGGACATAAAACATAGAGAAAATTATACGGATTTTCTCTCTCTTATGTATATATATATATATATATATAAATCTCTGTGTTTTTACATTATTATTACAACACACAAAATTCAATCTGTGCATTTATTAGTCACATCTGACGCGACGATACCACTCTTTCTTAAATTGATTTTTGTGCAATTTTTGCTACTGATATCTACTTGATACCAATATTTCATATGCTATTGAAAACGAGAAATTCAAATCACACATTTGAATAATTACTTTTTAACACACTCCATTTGCCCCAAATTCATGCAGTTTTTCGATTATTTTTTTTCAGTCGCTGCTAATAAATTTTCACAGGTTTTTTTTTAAATTCCTGATATTATTGTGATGCGGAAAATACAAATTGCACACTCAAGTTTTTCTATATGACATGATTATTCTATTGTTTTTTTTCCAATCAATATTTTAGCAGTTTTCACTATTTATTTTCACTTATTTCTTAACATCTCGATATTTTTAATACAATATTATTTATTACAACAAGTGAATCTTGAATCACTGTAAATACATGTGGTTATATCATCAATCTCTTTTTTTCAATTATTGACATAAATTTAACGTTTTATTTTTTTGTAAATTTAATGTTATATATATATATAGAATTTTTTTTTTTTTGGATGATAACTTGCAAAGTGTGAAAACGGAGGAATATGTAATTTTTTTCAATATATTTTTGTGTGTCAATGAGAAAAAAATTATTAAATTAAAATTTCACTCTTTAAATTTCATACATGTTACTTTTGTGCACAAAAATGACACTTTTGTGTGTATACAAAAAAAATTAAAGAAAAAAATTCACATTAAAAATAATAGATAATTTCTTCTTCCAGCAATCACATGTCTGCACAGTGCTGAGGTAAAAATATCCTCAGTGGTAGACGGATCATAAGTTAAGAGACCCCTTGCCGCCAGGCTAACCGTGGGAGGTATTCATAGTTTTCCTCTCCATGTAACACAAATGCAGGTTAGTTTCATCAAAAAGTCCTCCACGAAGGCAAATTTCTCCCAATGCATGATCCAAGAGTTTCCTTGTGTTCTGGATTGGGTTCAAAATTACAAGGTTACGGAGTTAAACATTGGTAGCTGTAAACCCAATGGCCGTTCAATGATATTTATAAAATAAAATGTGCAGTTTTAAATTACTAATTTAAAACTATAAGTTGCAGATTCTTATTGCTTTAAAGTTTGAGGAAAATTTCATATAAGTTAGTTAGTTTTCCAGAATAAAACAACCCCTTTATTTCCACCTTTTTCTTTTTTTCCCCCAAAGATATTGTGGTGTCGAATACCATATCATAAAAAGTTTAAGTGCAGCAAAAAAAAAAGATGAAAATCAAAAATTTAACCTTAAACTCATGATGTCTAGGTGCCTTTTAATATTACTTTATGTAAATATATTCTTAATGTGTCGATGTATTTTATGAAATAAAACTTTTTATTTTTTACAGCTTCTAAAGCCTCTACAGGAGAGATACCAAGCAGTAATGAATTCACCTACATTTATGCAGAATTATCAAACAAAGCAAGTACAAACTGAAGTCATGGACATAATTGAATGCCTGGCTGGTGTCGTGGATGGGTGCACAATGTCTAACTTGCAATATCTGGTGCCAGTTGTTAATCCTTTATTTCAAGAACTTGTTAAACTTGTAGATATTTATCATAATCATCATGAAATTGTTGGAATGGTTTTTCAAGTGTATTGTGTGGCTGCTAAGAGGGTCTTGTGTTATTTAAGTCAGGTGATATATTTATATTTTTATAACATTGAATTATGAATTTTAAACTTTTTTTATTTATTTTTAATTTCTAATAACAGGCAGGTGCTAAGGTCCTTTATGAGTGCTGTGTCAACATGATTCGTATCTATGCTAAATACAATAGTGGTAAGAAAACTTCTAAATACTTATTATTGAATATTTATTATTCTTAAGATTATTTGTTAAGTGCTATTTTAATTATTTTTTATAGGTAAACTCAGTCGGGAGGCAAGTGCTGAAGAAGAACAATATCAAGACATTCTTCTTTTAATGCAACTTTTAACTGATTTGCTTTTTAAAGATTTTATTGACTTTGCTCCAGAAAGTATGTTCAAGGTTCATTTCTTCTTTGCCTTGCTATATTAAAATAATGTCTATTTTATTATACTAACTGTTATTTTATGATACTAACTTAGGCTTCTCTATAAGCTTAATGTTTTGTACTTTTTCATTGCTTAATCACAAATCGTTGGTTAATACAATAAAACCTTCAGGAAAGACCATCTCTTTGTAGCAATCACCTCTTTTTACGACCACTTTTGGGAGGCAGAGAATTCGCAGAAACCATTAATTAGAACCTCTCCCAGCTACCGAGCAAACATCTGCATCAAATGTGGCAAAGGTCAAATAAGGAAACACGAAAAAACGTTAAAGCGAAAAAATTAACAAAACAAATAAGTAGATTAAAATGTATTCAAAATATTTGTGTGAGACTCTTATTTAGTGAGCTCCTTTTTGGCGTTACAACTTCATGTTGCAGTCAGAATGCACTAAAATAATGCTATCAATGATTTACTTTTAGAGTTGAAAGTTAAATTAGAAAAAAAAAGTTTTTTTAGAAAAAACAATTATCTTAATCAAACAAACCTCTTCTTATCTTTTAGAGCTAACATCTTGTATATAATATTAAAAAAAATTGTAATATAAAACATTTTTTATAATATAAAATTAAATGCAAACTTAAGCAAGAAACAACATTAGTTAAAATGGTTTTATCATTCATAATTGGTAAATTAGTAATTATTATATTTGTTGGGATCATTTTTATCGACACTAAATTTTATTCATCGATCCATCTTTTCCATGACACCAATAGCAATGTCATTTCCACACCAAAAAAATGACACTCACTGAAATTAATATCATTTGCAAAGAATCGTCTACCTTTGATAACAATTTTGAAGCCAATGGAGGTAATCTCTAAGAACAAAGAACTTCCATCAGCGACCATTTTACTGTTGAACGGAGAGTGGTCCTTCCTGAGAGGTTTCTCTGTATAAGATAATTTATTTCCTTTGGAATGACCTCTTAAAAAGCTTAGTTTGTTCTTTTTTTTTTAATGAAATTTTTGTATTACTTGTGGATTTATTTAGAAATTAATCCATAACCATCTCATTCCATTACTCTATTTAAAAAAAAGCAGGAAGAGCAATAAACATTCATTATTGTTCTTGCTTACCAATTGCTATTCCTGATAATTGTTACTCATTTAGCTGCTCATATGTGAATTGAGAATTTTCACCAACACTAGTAACATTACCTTCCACTGTTGGGACAATTCTATCTTTGACTACATATCTCTACAAGCTTCTTCCTGTTGATCAATTCGTGGAGCGCAAGATTCCATCTTTGTAAATAAATCTAATAAAAATTTTCTGAAATTAATTAGATTGCTAAAAATCTTTCTTAATTTTTTTTGTTGAATTTATTCAATATGCCATTTTATATATAGCTTTAGATCAAGACAATGCTGAAGCAAATATTTCTGCTGCAGATGTATCTTTATATGGTCTTAGTATAATTATGCCTCTAATGACAGCAGATCTTCTAAATGTAAGCAATTTCATTACTGCTCTAGTGTCATGTTTAATAAATAATTGTTAATGTCTAACATACATTATGAATTTTTTTATTATAGTTTCCAAGCTTGTGCTTGCAGTACTTCAAACTCATCATTTCAATTTGTGAAATACAACCAGCTAAAATATGTCAAATACCTGAAAACCTCATGAAATCCTTACTTTCATCTGTACAGTTTGGGCTTACTTCGTATCCTTTTGTCTTATCAATGAGACGAATTTCAATTGATATTATTAAAAGAAATTTCCTACTTTTTTGTTTCATTTTTCCTTAAATAAATAACTGTTAAAAAACTTTCTAGAACATTAACAATTATATAATTAAATTATTGTCCCAGTTTTCAATGAATTGGATTTTTCCCTTTTTATTGTATTTAATATTTAATTCAAAACATACTTGACCCTAGTTTCTCAGAATATATTTTAGCAAAATTAAATGTAACTAAAGAAATATTTATTATTTTTGCTTAAAATTCTTGTTTAATTATCAAGAAATTTATTTTCAGGGTATTATTCGCCTAGTTTAAGAATTTTTTACACCATCAAAACCTCCGTATCAGATTATTAACTATTTTTATTTGAATGCTTTTCTTCGAAAGAATGTATATATATATATGGATGGTTGGCCACAATATTTTATAAGTACAGTACAGAACCCGTTATCCGGAAATCAGAAAACCGGAACGAAATTCGATAAATTTTCCCGCCATTTTTTAAACAAAATTTTTTTTTCCTTATAAGATTTTAGGATTTTTCTTTCTTTTTTGAAAGATGTTCACCTTACCATCATTTTGGAAATAATCATTAGTGTATTACTTCATCGTTTTTTCTTCTTTTCAAGATTATTTCCTAAAAAAAAATTTTTTTTAGTTGGGTTTAACAATAAAAAAACGGCTTTTTGTAGCGATTCAGAAAACTGGAAAAATCAGTTATCCGGAATAGTGATGGTCCCGATCGTTCCGGATAATCGGTTCCCTACTGTATATCTATTAATATGATATGAAAATAGGTATGATATTAAAAAAAAATATATGAATTACTTAATAATTTTTTATATGTTCAAGTTGTTATTAACATATAAAATATTGGTATTTTTGATTATAAAGTGTAAGTTTATGTTTAGGTGAAATTTTTGATGAAGTTATTTTGTAACTGATATTATGTGTATAATAACATTAGGTATATTTGGTATCAATTTAAACTGTGCCATTACTATGCAGTTTTGGGTATAGATACTTTAGAAATAGGTTTTTTGCAGCCCCTCTAAAGTCATATATTCCAGAGAGAATTGTTTGACTATAGAAAATTTTCCTGCCTTAAATTGACCAAGAACAATAGCATTATACAAAATGATACTAAACTCATTTAATCTTTATTATGACGAATGGATTACTAAAAACGTATTTCCTTTAATCTAATAATGTAAAGCCGCTGAGGAGGGGGAAAAATAGTAGTTAAAAAAAAAAATTAATCAATTTTTTGATATTTATCTTTCAGTTTTTGAATTATTTTGCTGTATTGTTCAGTCCTGATTTATTGGTTGTTTACTTTTTTTGCACTGTATGAAGAACATGTATTCAGCTACAATTTCAATAATTTTAAATTAAGTTTTGTAATTTTACTATATGATTGTTTTTATTTAACCACATTTAAGCTATACCACCGAAATTTCACTTTTGTGTTTGGATTTTTTGTCTGTCCTTGGAAGGCATGTTTATCAAAATCCAAATCCAAGAACACCTATGCATGAGGCTTTGGAACCATTTTTGAAAGTAAGTTGGTCAATATAAATGCTTGAAAACACTTACTTTTATTATATAAGGGTTGCCCTAATAGAAAATGAATGCATGTGATTGTGTAATACAGTAGTACTAGCTGCATACCTTTTCAGGTTAACAACCCAATGTTGTACTGTTTTCATTGACTTATGACTTAAGTAATTTAGACATTTATTGTCGAAGGATACTATTTATAATGAATACTATCTTGAACAAATGATTTGAAAGTTTTCAGTAATAATGTTCATAAATATGAAATTGCCAATACCCAGGATAAACAAATGTTTTAAACTCAAATCAACCCATGCTGCTATTCAAATGATTAAAAGCAATTGAAAATTTATGACCTGTGTGCATCTTTACGGTTCTTTAAGTAAAAGAAATTGTGCAATTGCCTTCCATGGACTATTTAGCTTCAGTTTATTTTGGATTTGGATTGGTAAAAAGATTTTTTTTTTATTATTTCTATAATAAATAAAAATACAGCCAATAGGCTTCAAAAAATGTCTCTCTGAAGTTTTAACCATCAAAATGTTAAACCCCTGAGCAAAATTGGACAAAAATTTCCTTTCAAAACATTATTTTTCCGTTGAATAATGTGGGAAAAATTGGACATGTAGTAAAATTGTAGTTAATTAAAAATAGTAGTTTTTTACTTCTGAACTTTAGTTTAGAAAAATAGGAATAATGATCACTGAGCTTACAGATATTTAGACATATATTCCAAAAATCAAATTCTAAGGAAGGGAACCATAAATTTCGTAACAATATTTTATTTCACTAAACGGTTAAAAAAAATTATTTGCCTACTATTCTTCTAGTTTTAAAAACTTATGCTGTTCTAGGAAGAGAGGATAAAGTATTGTTTACTGTTTTCCAGCAATGAATTGTGTCATCACTATGGCAAACCCCTGATTGTGGCAATCTTTTTTGTTTATACTTAACCATTTACTTATAGTGTTTCATACATTTCAAGTAATTTAAGAAGAAAAAAACACGAGAGAAACGAATTGGAGAAATAGTTTTAAACTCTAAATAATTAGGCATAAGTTTTTATAATTATATGAAAGCATGTAAGTTTTTAATTCAAATTTCGGTATAACAGGTTAAGACTATATTTTATTATGTTTAATTCAATTTCTTTTACCAACTTTGTGTTATCTATTGTGAATTCTAATACCTTGTAATTTCTTTCTTTTGCTCATCAGGTTGTCTTCGATATGTTATTCTTGCAGCCCTTAGATGCGGATCTCACTCAATCTGCAAGTGTAACATTATACACTCTCATCTGCTGTTTTCAAGTTCGTATTAATCATATAATTTTTAAAAAAAACTTTGTAATTATACATAGTTGCTAACTTATACAATCATTGAAAATGATTTTACTAAATAGTAGTAAAATAATAAATAAAGTAAGAAGAAATTTCTAAGAATTAAGCTACTTTTACACTTTTAAAAGCTAATTAATAGATCTGATGTACCTAAGCTTGAATTCATCATAGCAGGTTTTTTTTAAAAAAAAAATTGAATTTATTTAAGGTTTAAAAATCAAGAATAAATTAAAATGCAAGTTACTTTTTACTACTAAGAAAAAATTTCTTCAACAGCTGTTCAAGTTGGCAGCTATCCTTGTAACAATTTTTTTTTTTTTTTTGCTGGAATTATATGTTATAAAATAATTTATGTAATATTTGTTATTAGTTATATTTCTAACTAAATTAAGAAAAGAAGAAAAAAAACATGTTCAGACATTTTTAATTGCATATAATAAAAATTTAATGACAATATTATATTTGACGAAATATTAAAATATAATATTGTTAATTTTAATTAATAGAACTAAGTTTTTTTATTTTAAAAATTAGTACTGAAAGTGTTTTGTGTTTGTATTGCTGATATACGATATTTAAATATTGTTTCATATTTTTTAAAGAATTTTCTACTTATGGTTTGCCAAAACCTATATTCGTGCAATAATAATCTCTTTACTTGTAGGTATTTTTCTTTTTCCAATGCATTGTAATTAATTTTTTGGATTTTCACTAACATGCTATGCTTTTATAACACATGATTAACAAATGCGTTTCTTACTAGGAAAAGTACAAACAGTTAGTACAAGAGCTTATCAACAGTCAGTCAGATGCTAGTACTGTGCAAAGACTACTCACATCATTTAACGATTTATCAACCAACATGACATTGAACTTGGATCGCCACAGCCGAATAAAATTTAAGGATGACTTTGAAAAGTTCATTACCGAAGTTAGGGGTTACCTCTGTGTAAAATAATATACCTGTTGTGCCATTGTTCATTACCGTTGTCTGTTGGCTATAAGTTACCTGGCTGGAACTATCGCATTTCCTACTTCATTGTTTCATTTTTCTAAATGTGTGATAAATGCTCACTATCGCTTGTTTGAAATCTCCTGTTCAACTGTGTTGAGTTGCAGATTCCAGTGTTGTAATAAATATTATTTTTAGTTCATAAATGTTTTGATTTTCTTATTGGTTCATGAATTTTTTTTTTTTATACTTAATTGTTCAATTCTTTTATGAATGCCACTTTTCATTTCAATATATTTGTACAATTTTTCAAAATGTATTATTTCCTGATGCTTAAAACTTAATTGATAAATAGCTATACGGTGGAATAACTTAACAGATTTTTGTTATGTATAGTCCTTATGGCTAATAAAAGTTCATATATTTATGTATTTGAAATTTGTTATTACTAGTTTGTTTTCCACTTGTGTATATTTCAATTTAATTTAATAGATTTGTTGAAGTTAAGATATGATACATTTATTTATTAAAATATTCAAATTATACTTAGCCTCTTTTCAAAACACTTTATTCATTTTGAATACCATTCACAGTTACAGTCTGATTAATAAAGAACCTAATTTTTGGCCAATAATATGTTAAGAGAAAATAGTCTTTCGTGGTGTTCATTAATTTTATTAAATTTAAGTGTTGATCTTTGAAAGTTTTTTAAATTTGATTGTAGCTTATTCTAATTATTTATGTATATGAAGGGAACATCTTACTTTTGGGTCAAGAGAAAAAGGTAGAGGGAATTTTTTTTTCATTATTTAAGCATTGAAAAGAAACAAAATGTGCAACCTTTCTGTCTACAATATGCCAAAATCCTAATAAATTCTATAGCTTTTTATTATTATTTTCAAATGAAAGCTTATACAATTTTTACAGTAAGTAATAAAAATAATAACACAAAAAAAATTAAAAATAAAGATAATTACAGGAATCTAATGTTATTTGTTAATTTTAAAGAAATTTTTCTTTTAAGCAACCTACTTCAAATATTATACATTAATAAATAAACATAATTATTTATCAGACTGTTACTTTTATTATAAACTATTTTCTTTGGGTATATTATTATTACAAATACAAATTTTGTATGTCTATAATTTATTGCATTTTTTCTTTCTTCTTAACTTCAAATTTGTGTTAAGTTCTTTTGTTAAACTTTATGAAATTGTTTTTTCTTTCCTCTTACTATTTGATTGTCAGGATGTGATATATTTGTATTATAACATTTTAAAATATTACATACTGATATAAAATACTATATTACTTTATTTGGAGTATATTAAACAATTTTTGTATAAATATTAAATACTTATTGAACAGTTATTAAACATCAAAAAATATCTTCCATGGTAAATTACAAGGTATGGTATTGTATAATAATTGTTAATTCGTTAAGCATGTTTTATTCTAAAGTGTAAATATTTTAGTTTCATGTTTAATTAAATAAATATGGCTGTGTCTCAGTTTTTCTTCAAAAAATAAATACTTCTATACAATCGAAAAACTTCTTACTCTAATTACATTTAAATTTCTAAACAGTAAAATATTTATTAATCTAGCAGTTATCTGCAAATATTAAGAAGAGAAATACAACTGATTCTACATTAAATTGCATATTTTTAGTGCTGTTGAAAGCAGTTTTAACTTATGCAATATTTTGTGCATAGCATATTTCATTGAGACTTTGTTTTATTTGTATGTTGAATTTTATGTTTGGCATTTTGTTAAAATACTTTTTTATTTTTACTAAATTGTTTAATTATCACAGGCCCTATATTATTTCACTTGCTGTTAATTATAGAGCTTGTGACCCAGTAAATTTTTAAAAAAAAATTTAGGTCAGCAACAATTTGGAAAACATAATTTATGTGAATGTGTTAGCATGCCTTTTAATTTGAATAAATGTGAAAAAATCAACACATATATTATTAGAACATTTATTTAATATAATAAATAAAATTTATTCATTTAATAGTCTAAAACTTTGATAAAATTATGTTAACATTCTTTTTCCAAAATTAGTAAATGTTCACTAACATTCATTTTGTAAATTTTTAGTTCATAGTTAAACATTAGGTTGATGTATTGGTATGAAGTGGATGCATGTTTAATGCAATTTAAAGTCTAACACAATTGTCAAAAATAAATTTGTGCTAATTATTGTGGATTAATGAAAGAAGGTGTTAATTATATTGAACTTTTTCACTTAATTATTTTTTATAGTATATTTTTTAATTATGATTTATTAAATGTCCATATTTATTAAAAAAAATTTATTGAACTATTCTTTTTTTTTTATGTAAAAAAAAAAAAAGGAATATGGCGATATATTTTTCTTATGTTTATATTTTCACCAGGTATTGATGTGTGAAACCAAGTAGTTTCTCTGTTTCTTTTTTCCTTATTTTTGAGGAAAGAATTATGTATTTGCTTAAAGTGATGTCTTTGGAATTTATGTATCATGTTTTGTACAGCATTTTATATGAGATTTTTAAACATTCTCCAAATATCACTGTATAATAAATCATCAGTTTATTAAAAATGGTTTATGTGTTTAAAAATTCAAGACCGAAAAAGTATTTTTTTATTTATTGAAAAAGAATTGTACAGTTTTTGAATATTTTTTCAAAGAGAAACAGTTCTATTTCTGCTAAATTTATAAGCGTCAAAAATATATTTCTTATAGAAATAAAAACGAACTATTTACAGAAATGAAAACAGAAGTCGATGAATAGCATATATGAACGATAAAAGCATTTCTTAATCTGTGCTATGTTTCTTGATTTATATTAGTTATTTGGAATTGGAGCTGGTTAGGTATAAAAAATTCTTTACGTTTATGTTTAATGCCTAGAAATTAAATGTACTTCTCTAAAAATATTAATCAATGTTTTTATAATCATGCATTTTGTTCATTTGATTAATTAACAATAATAAACTTGCGAGAATTTAGTAATTCGTCCGGCTGTCCATAAATTACACTTAAGTGATTACGATATCTTTTTTTATTCTACAGTGACGTTCCTTGAGACTAGTAAGCATTGACATTTGAACCGTAGAAAGGCGCCAAATGTGTGTTACATAATTAAAAAAGAAATTCAGAGTAAAATACTTCTCTTTTAAATAAACTTCTCATCTCATTCATTGCATTATTCCAGAACTCTCTAATGTTGATCAATTTATAGTCAGAGCCTGTTTCAGGAGGTCTAAGTAGATTTGATTTCATCGAGTAGATTGATTTCATGAGTAGATTTGATTTCATCGACCTAAAATATGCTAATTATTAAGTTACGAAATCGGACATAGAAACATTTTTGCTTTAAACATACGTCTATATACCATGCCTTTTTTTAAAAGCACTAGGAAGTTGCTCTTGCTTACCTCCTGTAATTGATTATCATTCATCATTGTTAATTTCTTCTTAAACGTCAATAGTTTAAACAAGCAAAAGCAGAACATTTTGATTTCCAAATATGCAATCATTAAGTAAGAACATTTTGTTAATCGTAAGAAAATAGAGGATTGCTTAGATTCAAAAGAGTATCATCTGTACTTTTTTTTAAAAAAAAAATTAATCTCAAAAGTACAGATTGTGAGATTCAATAAGAGAAGAAATTTCTCTTGTTGAGGAGACTTATATCAATTTAAATAAGCAATTTTTATCGCTATTTATTAATTTTTTTTAAAATTTACTTTGTATTTTATCTGGCAACATGTAATCTTTCATTTGATTAAATATTTCAGCACGAGCTTATAAAACAAAGATCTCATGAGAGATAAATTTTATGCAACAGCGGATAAATAGTCAATGTTTAAACAAATAAATTTGGAAGAAAGCAACAATATTTTTAATAACTGTTGAACTTTTAAGGAATTTGGAAAAAAACTCTGGTTTAAATTTTAATTCCAAATGTGTCTATCAACACAGTAGGTTAACCAATATCCCCCCTATAAGTTTAACAGTTAATAATTCTCGAACTAACAATTGAATCTTAATTTTTTTTTATTCCATCAAACTACCTGCACATTTTTCTATACACCTTTGCAATTTCAAGTTCCTAAGTCGTAGATTTTAAGCAACAAAGCAAAATGTAACGTTAAACAAAAAAAGAAAAGAGAGAGAAAACTGATTTTTTAAAAAAAGCATCTAAAATTGCAATAAATTTCGAGCGGATTTAATTTCGAAAGAAACTAAAGTTCATTTACAAATAGAGCCTGTTCAGAATACCAAATTTCGATTCTGTAGTTGCATTCATGCAGCGCGTATGGTATTTTTTTCCTACAAGGTGATTAGTTAATAATTCTCAAAACATATATCTAATGTTAAATTTTTTTTTATTCCATTCTACTCCCTATTCCTTTTCCTACATAATTACGAATTTCTAAGTTTTGCACAACCAAACAAAAAAAGGAAGAGAAAAAAGCGCTTAAAATTGCAATAACTTTAGGAACAAATTGAAATTTCGAAAAAAGAAAAACTTGCGTTAAGTTTATGAATAAATGTGACCCTCTCAGCATGCCTAATTTCTGTTGCATTCTTGCAGCCCGTATGGTATTTTTTCCCACCAATTATAACAGTTAATTCTTAAACAAATTATGAATTGTTAAATTTTTTTTTTATTCCATCGTAATTCTTGTACACTTTTGTAATTAAGTCTATTTTTTAGTATTTTATAGCAGCCAAACAAACAAAATGCAACGTTAAGATGAACAACCAAAACAAAGTCGGCGGATATCGTTCGGATTTTTTAAGATAGATGATACTAGGTCAAAGAAATAGAAGAAAAAAATTATTTTATAAATTTAAAAAAAAAATCTACATTTTTATAAAAAAAATGGATTTATTTTGATCATAAAATTTAAAATATTTACCAATATTCAAGTACTAATGTGAATTTAACGTGCTATATAGAAACCAAATGCTAAGTTATAATTTAATAGGTCTATTAGAAATGAAAAATCTTGTGCGTAAGATTAGAAAAATAGATAGATTTAGAGACCAAACTACGAATAAATAATTTAATACATACAATGTATTTCTAGTTGGCAAACGATTACAGTTTAGAAAATAGGTGTGTTTCCCTTTTTCAGTGAATGGGTTTCAATATTTTTGATATAACTTCGAGAGGTTTTTGAGTATTATCTTATACTTGGTGTCAAAATAAAATACGTCATAAAAGATTTTTTTTTTAAAACGAAAAATTTTTTCATTTAATGTTTTTCATAAATAAGAGAACCAAAAATAGCATTTTTTATTTTATTTAGAAAGAAGGTTCAAATTATTAATTGAGCTTTATGGATTCCTTCAAGCGTATTAATTTAAAAAATTTGTGAGAAAAAAAATATCAGACTTTAGTAACAATTACAGGAGAATAATATGTTTAGAAGTTGGCGCATAAAGAGATCCACTAGCTCGGTGTGTCAGTCAAATTTTTGTTTAAAATTCTAAATAAGGGTAATCTTACGCACAGACATTTGATGACCAATCAAGATTTTAAATTCGCAGAGAGTATTTTTTTTTCTTACTCGTCTGATGAAAATCAGATAAATGATCAAATCTCGGGGCCAACACCGGATGACTTATCACCAGAAACTCATTTAAGTTAGCAGATAACTTAATAAACAAAAAAAAATTTTTTTTTCAATATTCCATCCTAATTTTAAATCTGATTAAAAAATGAAACAATGTGATTAAAATTTTTATAAACTAAACTTCTT